TACATTTAACCTCCATAGATATTAGATTTTCTACGAAATCAAACTTTACAGTAAAGAAAAATTTAAGACAAGAAATGGATGAATTAAAAACTCAAGATACAGGATAAACCGTTTTATTTATAAAAGAAAACCTACTTGTAGCTTCCATACGTATTTATACAGCGTCCATGCACGCAATTATTCCAGCTGTCTTGGCACTCGTTTACGTCGATATTACAGTTGGGACCGTTGAACCCAGGCTTACACGAACATCTATATCCCTTCCCAAGGGACGTACATGTTGCTCCGTTCCTGCAGGGTTGAGAGGAACAGTTATCAGGTTCCTCACAGGTTTTTCCTAAACAATGGTGCAAGTTATATAAAACATCTATATACTAAAACAAGACATTCGTATATGTTCCCTCTGGCTGGCCAAACGGCTAGACCGAATGGGCTGATTTTTTTTATGGACACTCATGGGCAGCCTAAGGGTGACATAGACTAAAAAATCGGGTTTTTTTTAGTTTTTAATTTTTAATTTTTTGTTCTTCTTTTCCACGGGCAACGCCGGGTCCTTTAGCTAGTATTCTATAAAAACATAAATATTAAGATGTTTACATCTTGATGTTTTATCCTACCTTTCCACCCTAGAGGACAAGTGCAAGTATATCTGCTCAAAGATGAAAGATGACAGCTTCCACCGTTCCTACAGGGGCTCGAGTCACATACATTCTCTACAGGAACCTCGCAGAGAGAGGCTGTAAACCCAACAGGACAGGTACACTGAACAAAAACACGTTTACTATTGTGATATGTTGGTTTGAAGCACTCAAAATCTCACTGTATAATAAAATAAATTCATGATAACACAGCATATAACATTTGAAAATTTAAGTCAAAATCAGAGGCATAATAAGTGTCGGATGCTAAATGAACTGTTTACCTGGAATGTCGGAGGTTGATTGTTGGAGAAGAGAACATTACATGTTCCTCCATTTAAACATTTCTGCTCTCCCGTGTTACAGGGATTCTTGTACTGGCAGTATTCTCCAACGTAATCAGGTGAGCAACTGAAATACAAAATGAATCAAATAATGTTTAAATACAACAAATAAACCTACTATAGATGAATACATATCCCTCCGTCTGGGTTGATCGGTGCAATTAAATCCACCTAACCCTACAGTGAGGTTGTAAAGGTTTACAACTTTATACAACAGGGTGGAGCGGAGGAAAAGGATAATCATTTCTCCGGATACTGACTAAAACATCTCTTTTTAACAGATTAAGACTTATCTTTACCTAAAACTGAGACTATAACTTGATTCAATACTAACTTGGGAACCAAGCTTTGCCTGAAAACTATACTTTCCACCCAATCAATGAGTCCCGCAACCAAAATTTGAGGCAAATCGGTCAAAGGGTTCCTGAGTTATGATCGGACATTCAAACAAACAGACAAGCAAAAAAGGATGACTACTTTATCCACATAGATTCAGAAATGAAAAATACATTTTCCGATCTAAGTGCATAATTCTTAACTAAATAACGAAAATATTTCTCAGGTATTCCTAATAACTTCTTAACAAGAAGCAATTCCAACTATTTATAAACATACCCTAAGACTAACCAACTACTTTTCAAGATAGAAATGTTAACAAATAATTTGAAAATTAAAAGTATATGTATTTTGTTTGAACAATAGATTCTGATATTCGGTTTCAACTTACATTCGGATAAATTAACAGGAATGTCGTAATTTATGCTAAACAAAACAAGGAATATTTTTCACAAAGTTTTAATATTTGTATGTTTTATTTTCCTTCAAGTAGTGTATGAGGCTAGATAATCAAAGTGAATATATATTATATAGATGACGGAACATAGATAATATAAGAACGGGAAGTTGGAAAACCGTTAAAAACAAATCAGATGCATCTGCTTTCAGTTCCTGGGTATTTAAACTTTCCACCAGTGTGTTCGCGAAAAATGAAAGGGGGTATAGGCTTAATGCGATAAAAAAGCGCTTTTGATCGCTTCTAATCTTATTTCTATCTGTTGCGTCTATAAGGAGAAAATTGCTTAAAACGACTAATACCGAAGAACGTAGTATCTATACAAATTCAGAAAGATGCAACATACGACTTAGACCATAAAAAATCTATTTAATTTCAAACAAATCATTCAGGTATTACACCCTATGGTCATCGATTATCTTTCGCCACATTTGTATTTAGTTGATTTTTCATAATATCTTTTGATTTGATCTTTTAAAATAACATTTAGCTTTTAACATTTAACTTGTTTTCGAACATTCCTGGAAAATATAAAATGTCGTCTTCATTACCAAAAATCATCGCAACAGGAATAAATCATAACAATTAAAACATATTATGAAAAATCAACTATTTTTTAAGGTCTAAGTCGGATGTTGCATATTTCTGAATTTGTTTGGATACTACGTTCTTCGGTATTAGTCGTTTAACAATTTTCTCCTTATAGACGCAACAGATAGAAGTAAGATTAGAAGCGATCAAAAGCGCTTTTTTATCACATTAAGCCAATACCCCCTTTCATTTTTCGCGAACACTCCCTTTAAATATTTGATTTGTTTTGCTACCTATCCAAGAAAAGTTCCATTAAAAACCTCCCCCGGTACACTAAGAATGGGTAATTCTTGTTCCAGCTTTACCTAATTACCATCAAGTCATGATTAATGTCTATTGAGACTCACTGTATGCATGCTATAATTTTGACTAAGAGTTTTCAGGAGAACCCACAATGTACCACAGGTATTTCCGGTCTAATTTTACCTAATAAGCATCCCCCCAGTCCCACCCCGCATCCTAGCATATTGAGTAAAATTGTAAAATTCTCCCCTAAAAGATATTTTTTAAGAAAACTCGGATTGTTTTAATAACGATATTTGGAGAAAATTTCCCATTTTGCTTCTTACTAATATGAGCAATCTTTCTTGAAATTTCAAATTCAAATGTTTAAATTACATTTACCAGTTGTAAGTTACTTGGTGATTAAATAGAAAACAAAGGAACAGATAATTCGCCACAAACTCTGATATTCTGATTCTCATATTTTTGCAATCTTATAATATTTTCAACTTTAATAACTGCTAGATCAAATAGTCAAAGTTTGAAATATAAAAGGTTTACAACATCAAGTTGCAAAGATATAGGGATTAGAAAATTTAAGTCTGTTGCGAGTGATCAAGTTCCCTTTATAATTAGATTTTAATTGTAGAGTGGGTTATGGGACAATCAAATGAACATCGACAAGTGAAAATGATCCATATTTAGATTCCTCTGTCGTGAACTTAGAACAAAGAAGTGATGAAAGATAAATGATAAATCCTAAATGCAGTTTCCCATGATCAAAGTTGGGACGATGGACCACTCCTCATTTAAAATTGCATCATATTCTTCACAACTTATCATCGAACTGCATTCTTCTCAATGTGCAAATTTGGCTGAAACTAGTTTCAAATAGATGCTTAACTAAATTTATTGGGATATATTCCGGAGTTGAGTTAAATTTTTTTACTAGAACGTTATTTATTATTTTACAACCATTGAACCAATTCTAGAGCTGAGTATTGCATTGTATGGATAAAAGACCGAGGCCAGGGAGGAGGAGGGTTAGGTTCTTGATTAATATCTGTTCGGTTCGTGTCTAGAAGGATTAAGAGCTGGTTGCGTCTGGCCCGTGAGTGTTCTAGCAGGTGCTCCACCAGCTCAAATAGTTAACTTCCTAACTCTGTTCCCACGCACCCTGATTGGTCGAAGTAAACCAAAACCTGGGATTACTATTGGTCCAGAAACCCTGAGACAGTCACACAAACCTTACATAAAGAAACCCCTATAAACCCTCGGGCTACTTGGGTCAAATTCTGGGTCTTGAGCCTATTCCTAATACACCGGGATTATATAGTTTCCTCTTACCGGGAACGACGCTAATAAGCTAATAAGTTTCTATGAGGGTCTCATAAAACCAAATTACTTTTCATGCTTAGTATTTTCATTAGGAGAAAAGGAAGAAAATGATGTGAAAAGGTTCCAAAACAATTAATAAGATGGAGAAACTCAAACTCTATAATTATTAAAAAGAGAAGAGAAGAGAGAGAAGATAAAACAAAACTATCAAAAGAGAGAGTAAATATTCATAGAAAAAATGAAATAACAAGAGTAACTTATATCAGAGAAGAGAGTTTCAAACTAAGGTTATCAACAAAAGATGAAAGTTTAATGATATATTATTATCAATTTTATAAGTCTTATCCTTTTTGGGTAACCCTGTATTTCATCCTGTAAGAAAATGCGAGGCGTTATATGAATTGCTGATTTAATGGTTTAGCCAGAAGAGCAGCAAATTTATTTTGAATCTTAAACAATCCTAAGCTGTAGAGGACAACAAGATAATGAAAGAATGGAGTAAAGATTTGAATCTAGATTTAGCACAATCTTGTGAATCATCTAGTTTGTAGTTGACCAAATTAGAGAGAGAGAAGTTCAGAAGGAAGATAGATAACCTAACTCAGGCGTAACCCTGCTCTGGTTGCCTGCACTCTGTGGGAAAATTAAACCTTACAATTGATACAATCCTAATCATTTATAGTGTTCACAACACCTTCTACTTGTAACTATACCAGTATTGGATTCAAATAAACAACGAACCATTAAAAAAATTTCTCTCTGAAAATTACTTTTGGCCTTTGCCAAAAACTTATATTTTCTAATCCCTATATCTTTCCAACCCAATGTCGTAGAGCTTAGATATTTCAAAAAATAAATTATGTTACATCAAATAATCTAAGTTAGAAATATCAAATGTTTGCACCATTAGGTTGCAAAGATATAGGGATTAGAAAATTTGAGTTTGTGGTAAAAACTCAATTCCTTTTCAAATGAGAAATAGTCTAACCGACCCTAGCCTTATAATGGTCAAGCACATATTTATTCATAGTATTCAGGTACCCCGTAAAGAGTGTCTGCAATGTAAATACAAACCCGAATTGATGGAAAGAGGAGGGGGGACGGGCGGGCAAACAATCGTATTCAATTTCAAGGATTCAGTCCAAATCTCTAAGTTAAGAAACAGATGAAGAAAACAGAAGAATTGAATCATAAAACAAAATAATCTCCCCCTGTGTAAAATTCGTTAAATAAAAAGTAAATCCCCCGATATTGCTGAATATGTTAAACACTCGTATAAAGAAAAATAAATGACGAGGGGACGTGAGGCCCTTTCAGCAGCTGTAAATGAAGGGGAGAATTAGGAGCTCTTGTCTCCGGCTCCGATCCCGGGGGATTCTAAACCTGTGAGAAACACGGGAGCATTGGGTTCTCACTCTGACAAATTATGTCACATCTGTACCGGAGAACTAGGTTAGGATACCAGGAGTATATATTTAAGATATATGAGATTTGACGAAGTTGTCATTGGACATCTTTAGTTGAAATCCTAATTAAACAATGGATACAAACAAACCCATTATTCAGGTTTTCTGTCGATAAGAAAGGAGGATAAGATTAGAATTAACTGAACGAGATGGAGACTCGCTTTACTTAATAAAATTGAAGCTTAGACTAGTTCAGGAATTAAAAAACAAAAACATAAAGGGTACAAAATCTCAATAGATAAACCAGTAGAATGAGAGATTACTTACTCGCAATATGAGTTGCCAGCCTTGTCTGTTTTACAGGTAGATCCAAAGTGTTTGCAAGGGTCAGGTGAGCAGCTCCGGAACCCTGGAAAAGGACAGATATAATTAGGGTGAAAAGAAAAATAAGCAATAACCAGGGAAATTAATATAGAACATGGAAACCGGGGAGATGGAAACAAAATGTTCAGACCAGGGAACTGGAAACAGAATCTGGAGTTAAAAGATATAAACAGAGATCTAAGAGAGCAGGGAATCGGAAACAGAATCCGGAAACAGAGAAAATTGGTAATTTAGAGAACAATAAAATAAAAACGAAACCTAGAGAACAGGGATATAGACAGAACCTAGAGACCAGGGATTTAGACACAGAACCTAGAGACCAGGAAAACAAACCCAGGACCTAAAGACCTGGGAAACAAACACAGAAGCTAGAGACCAGGGAATTTGATACAGAACCTAGACACCAGGGGGGAAAAAAGAGAACCATGAGACCAGAGAAATAGACACAGAACCACTAGACCAGGGATTTAAATACAGAACCAATAGACAAGGAATTTAAATACAGAACCATGAGACCAGGGAAGTGGATATAGAACCTATAAACCAGGATAAAGGACACAAAACCTCGACACCAGGGAAAAAGACACAGAACTTAAAGACCAGGAAAATAAACACAGAACATAGAGACCAGAGATATAGACACAGAACCTAGATAGCAGGAAAATGTACACATAACCTGGAGACAGGGAAAATTTGCACAGAACCTGGATACCAGGGAAAACACATAACCTGGAGACAAGGGAAATAGACACAGAACCTAGAGAGCAGGGTAAACACAGATACTTAACACCAGGGAAATAAACACGGAATTTAAAGACCAACAAAAATATAGAACATTAAGACCAGGAAAAAAATACAGAACCAATATACCAGGGAATTAGACACAAACGATAAAGGAATTAAGACACAGAAGACCAGGGAAATACACACAGAACCAATAGACCAGGAAAATGGACGAAAAACCTAGAGACCAGGGAATTAGACACAGTAGTTAGAACCTAGATACTAAGGAAATTTACACAGAATCTAGAGACCAGAGAAATTAAAAATAACGCGATAATCAGTTAAACCAGAAATGTTTAATTTAACTTTTGATCTAGCCATGTCACATTAAAGAAGTAGTTGAACTACCCATACCCTCTTAAACAACTTATCGCTATTCATTAGTTATCTCTCCGACTTAATTATAAAAATGGGAACTAGATAAAGTATAGAGCCCGAACTGAGATAAAGGATTTGAAAGAGAAAACCAGGTCGGATATGGAGAAACCAAGAAATAAGGAAACACATATAAGCTGGAAATTTTAGAATTCTAGATATGTAATAAGAATAGATAAGTTAAACATAAATAGATAAAGTGGATATAATAGGAAATAAAAAGTAATAAAGAACAAGAGAAAAAATGTAGAAAAGATCAAGAGAAAAAACGAGGAAAGTTTTCCTCCAAACTTTACGGCAAAATTTTTGTTGTTTTAAAAAAATTATGAAATCAGAATTCATGGCTTCAATTTTCTTTTTGAAAATACCAACTAAGAAGCAATCTGATATGGGGCATATAACGAGAGGGTTTTTATTATATATAAGAAGGGAAAATATGTAAATAATCCCTCCCCCCATGTTTGGTCCAGGTATAAATGAGTTGCCCATTAAGTGAACCCAGGTTTACCTAGCGCGCTTCCAAGCACGGCACAAAGAACCAAAACTATTAAATCTCTGTGCTTGAATCGCATCTTGAGCGTTTTATCACATCCAACTTGTAACTATAATTTTGCTGATCATATTTCACTAGTGTTGATCAGAATGAGGATAGGATGCGAATCTACAGGTTTATATTCTTGCAACCTTTTGGCGCTTCTGGAGCTGAGACGTGCTCCGTTGTTGAAACTGAACTGGTTTGAATTACAACCCCGGGCCGGTACTTCGCCAGGTCAGAGTCCCCCCCCTTCACGCAGTAGTCCGTTCATCCCCCTCCAAAAGCGCCCCCCCCCCCTCCTATCCACCGCTCCGACCCGTTCTTGAGATAGCGTCCCCCAGGCGTTATCTCCACCTGCCGCTTGGTCCCACGGAAGTACATAGAGAAGGAACCAAAGGTCGTATTCCCTGTTAAGCTCTCCAAGAAATAATCCCCCGCTTCCCTCTTCAAGTTTTATAAATGAATTTTAAATATATAATAACGGATTCTCTTTCCTAGTTGGTTTTGTAGAAATCCTGGAATTTAGATTTAAAAGCCTCAGCGCTATATCCTTGGACGAATCCTCTGACACATAATTTACATCAAAGTTAAATCTGAAACACTCAAAAAATTAATAGAATACATATAATATTGATTGCTTAAAGAGATGACTCAATTTCATAGAAATATGGACATTTTTTGCTGAGAAATTATGTTATTCGAACTATAATATTTGATGGGTTACAAAACATTTAAATATCTAAACAAAAGCAAGACCATAGTTTGCAGATTATCTACTGCACACTGTTGACGTACAAAAAAAATTGAGAAGAGAAAAATATTGGATTAAATGAGATCAGCTGAACCATAGTAAGCGGAGTCTAAGGAACCAGGTTCCAGATTCCCCGGGTCAAGAGAAGGGTTCTCCTCATATTCAAGGTCTGAATTACAAGTAAATAATCCTTCAAGTTCGTCATCATTTTCTGAGAAAGGTTGGAATGAATTCAAGAGTTCCTCCAGGTTGTCCTGTAAACTGCCCTGGGAAGAAATCTCTGTTGGATTGGAGTCGAAAACCTGTAAAAATCATTTCTATTAATTAAGCCTATTATTGGTTTACAGTGGAAGCAGGTCCTTATCTGAAAGTTTTTGTAGGGGGGGGGGGGGCCGCCAAAGGTAAAAAAGTGGGGAACTCTCTCCCCCTCCAGTTACGGTTCTAAATGCAAAAACAATTTTTGAAAAATTTACCCCAAAGACAAACATTTTGATATTTTATTAAGTAGCTTTACTGTAAAGACACATACAATTAGGATCTTTTCCGAGCTGTGAAGCACAGAAAAAACCAAGTTCTATAGATGACAATACATTTGTAAAACTCCGAAAAAATGGTAAAGAAGGGGAAAAAATAAGAACAAAAGGGCGTTAAATTGCATTGTATAAGGCTGGAAAAATGATTAATTATTTGTCAAAAGATAGTGAATCTATTTTAAAATGTAAATTGTATAATCATAACTTGCCTTATTCACAGTTATCCCTGGGTAAAGAGAATCTACTCCGAAGTATCCGTGATCAAAATTTGTTTCGCTAATATCTCTCCCGGGCACATCTTCACTGTTGGTTTCTATATTTTCTCTAGTTGAAGATACTTCACCCGTTCCCTCCGGGCAACTAGGTTCTGAAAATAAGATGCTTTTTATAAAAGGCATTCAGGGCAATTCTCACCTCTTTTTAGTAATGGTAAAATTATCTCTTTATTTTACATATTATTGGTCAATAAATCTTAAAATCGTTATAGAAAAAAAAAATATTTTTTGCAGATTTACTCTTTTACTTGTACCTACAGTAACCTTTTTAGAAATATACGAAGAAACCGCACGTTTAAAATAATAATCAAGGAGTGTCGCATTCGTCGCATACGAAATAAAGGATTTTTTATGCGTTTTTTTTACAATATTTAAGGTTGACTTCAAATTTTCAAAATAGTTCTTGTTATACTTAAATGTTTTTGAAAATCAGAATTTAATTTATTTGAAAAACTTTAATTAATGAACCAACCTTTTATATCAGAACCATTTATTTCATCATCGCTCCTTTCTTCAATAAATTTCCGTTTAGGTAATTCTGTTTCCGTTTCCGGAAAAAATTCCAGTGAATCCGCCAGTTGAACGTTGAGCTGCAGGACCTTCTCATTGAGTTTATGGATTAAATCCATCTCTATGGCATTGTTCTCCCAGATGAGGATGATTAGATCCTCAAAGAGTTCATCAGATATATTCTTCACTTCACAGATCTCGGACAACAAGGTCTCCACCAATACTAATTGCCAAATTTATCTTTATTCTTTAAAAGTAGAAATTCAAAGCAGGAGACAGCCAAATATTTGCATGCGCCTGATCAATGTCATAAACCAAAATACTATAACAGGTGCAGAGAAGTTAACCATTTTTCATAATGAAAACTATGATTTTCAGGAGTGAGTCAGCCACCTTCATCCCCCCCCCATATGTCACAAATAAAATAAATAATTTATTTTAGAGGGAGAATAAATTATTTTAAAAGTATCAAATTCCATAAGAAGTAAGAACATTTCCAATTTAAAGCCATTTCTTCGCATCTTTAAATAAAGATACACATAGAGCCCCTTTTTCGTATCACAACTATGTCAATCAAATATGTCCCGGAGACCCAGATAATTTCTGTTATCCATTCCAGTGTTGTCATTAAAAGTTGGGGTATTACATATCATTATCTTGTTCTTAAAGTTGGGTATTAAATGTTTTTTTTTTATAAAATACCTAATTTTCCCCTGGAACTTTTCCAGTTTTTCATGGCATAGTGTAGAGAACACGTCTGGCAGCCCTCGAACCTTCCTTCGAATCTTCTCCACAACAATCAAAACATCCGTCCCGTCTTTACCATCAATTACACCAGGATTCGGACAGTTCGTTGACTTCTTTTCTTTAATATTTATGCTGGAACCTTGAGCTCTCGACCCCAGTTTAGTATCGTTTCTCTCACCATCATTTAACCCATTCTTTAATAAAAGAAATCAGTTTAAAATGAAGAAAATCACTTTTTCAATCGAGATAATTAAATATAGTTTGAAAATAATCGAGAATTGCAGAAATATAGTCGTTAAGTGATTATTACATAATTGAAAGAAAAAATTCAAAGAAAAGGTCAAATAAAAAGTAAAATGAAGGCCGGATGGTTTTAATTACAGGTGTGGCGAAATCCAAAAAAGAAAACTTCATGACCGCCACTCAAGATTTACCTGTTTCAGATAAACTGTCTGATCATCTGAAGTTATTTTTATTTTGTGATTTTTCGTTCCTGGTTCTTTGGTATCTAGATTGTTACAGTGTGAATCATGCAAACCTTGTTTCTGAATGCAATTCTTCTGAAAATCTATGCATTCCTCCTGAATATATGAATTATTCTCCTGACTTTCTATTTCCTCCTTCTCTTGGCTCTGAGATTGACTGCTCTGACTGAAGTATCCTTGGTCTGCTCCGTTATCCATGATAGATGTCTTGGAACATTCTTGTGAAGAAAACCTTCGTTCTTCTCTCTCTGATATTACTTCATCATCAGAAAATCTCGGGGGTAAACTTTCTTCACATAATAAGCTCTGAGAGATTTGAGATGAATAAAATTCATCACAAGAATCATCCTCGGGTTGACTTAGAGACGCGAGGCCCCAATTCATACCTCCTGTACTATAAAAGTTACCTTGAGAAGCAAACTGATAAGTTTGTTCAGGTCTATCTATTCCCAGAATAGGTTCGGAATTGAAACAGTTCGTAGGGAAAATTTCCTCATTGCTATTAGGAAAATTTCTTGGCTGAAAGCGACGAGATCTTTTTTCTGCATTACATCCAGTTGATAACTGCTCGTGTTGATAAGATAGAGAGTAGTTTAAAGGAAAGCTGTTCGGAAATGGGATAGAATCTACTCTAGATCCTAAATTTGACAAAGTAGATCCAACTTCAACCCTCTTCATTCCTCCACCACCAAACCCACCACGTTTCCGTCTTAATCTCAGCATTTCCGCTAGAGTTCCTCTTTTGGTCGGAGTAAAGGCTCCAAAACTGCTCCTTCCATTGTCATCCATTTTATTTTCTAGCACACTGTTAAATAAATACAAACATTATAAATTAATTAATAAAACTAAAATCTTTTCTATAGAAAAGTATGTAAATATTATGATCAGTTGTATATTTTATTACTTCATAGGAAACACATTTTAAGAAAATAAGCTAAAACTTTCCTGTAAAGCCAGGCAACAAGGATCATGATTGATGATGTAAATTTATACATATAAATATCACGATCTCATCAGTAACTTTCTAGAAGATGTGAGCAGAGATCAGGATTCCTCCTCTGAGCTTAAATAGTTATTAGCAATCAAACCTAACCCAGAACCCCTCTTCTCCTTTATGTCTCCTGAGAGATACATCTGAGATCCGTCCTCCAGAGCTGAGGTAGGAACTGAGAGAACGTTGAAAGCTAAAGCTTTCTTCATAAGATTATTTGCCAGAAATTCCAGAGATTTTTTTTTTGGAACCAGGACTGGAGTTGATTTTGAATCATCTTCTTGTAGTGAAGAGGAAAAGGCAGATTTCATCGACTTAAGAATTTCTTCTTTACCATTAGGTAGAACTAACTGGGACACTGGGACCGTAGTATCCGGAGCAGAACTGTCTAGAGCAGAATCTTCCGTCACCCCTTCACGTGAATCTTGTTCTTTTTCATCTATGACTGGGGTTCCAGATTTTTCAATCTCTCCGAGCTCATCTACAGATGGATCTTCAATCTCTTCTCCAGCTTCATTGGACAACTCCTCTGTTGAGAGAATACTTTCTCGTTTCCTCCACCAAGTGGAGACTGTTGAAACCGAAATATCTAGATCCCTTGCAACACTAGCTTGAGATTCACCATTCATTATTTTCGTAACTGCCTCACGTTTTACGTTTAAAGGCATGAAAAGTCTGAACCCCGACAGAGATGGATGGCTTGGCGCTCCTAAACTTTGTCTCCTAGGTCTAATAGTTTCAACAGGTTTAGTATTCACATCAACATCCAATACTTCAGGTTCAACTATTCTACACGGCTGAGGATCAGATGAAACAGGAAAACTAGGTTCTCTTTCAATCTCCACTGAGGAGACATCTTCCTCAGAAGATTTAAGGTTCTTTTGTTCTATTAAATCAATGTTGTTCTCTTGGATAGATAGTTTTTCATTCATTTTTGTTTTAGAAACCTGGGATTGCACAACGTTTTCCGGCTTAGAAATACGTTTATAACGTTTAATCCAGGAGATCAGTTTAGATTTAGGAATATTTTCAGATTTGGAAACCTTCTGAATTTTCTCGCCATCCTTGATCCGCTGCAATAACCTTTCCCGATATAGCCGACATGAAAGTTTCGGCTTCACACCCGTTTTTTCTTCCGCTTTCGGTTTCACCTTAGATTTCAGAGGTTCATCATCCTGGACCAGTTCCAAGGGTTCAAGAATCTCCTCCGGCACTGCAGATAACTCTTGTATATTTCGAACTTGATCCAGGATAACCTCTTTCTTCCCCCACCAGTGTGCTAGAGTTGATGGATTAATGTTTAGATCTCTCGAGACTGCTATCTGAGTTTCTCCTGCCAGGACCCGCTCTATAGCAGCAGATTTAATCTCTAACGGAATGAAAGGTCTGTATTCTCTGCTGGAGGAGCGGGAACGTTGATTACTTGAGCTTCTTGAGTTCCTAACACTACTCTCTCCGGACCCTGATTCTGAACTACTATCCTCGACATCTTTAGGTGTGTCTGTAGAATCTGTATCAACATTCTCCTTCTCAGTGTTGCTTGTAATATCAGGTTCGTTAATAATGCCTGAGTTTTGAGTGACTGAGCTGAATTTCTCCAGTAGTTCAGACCTTTTAACACACCATTTGACAAGAGTAGAGAACGATATGTCTAAATCTTTGGCTACAGCAGCTTGACTTTCTCCATCATCTATTCTTTGAAGAGCTGACATCTTGAGCTCTATGGGGAAAACGTTTCGACGTCTTGGACTTGACTTAGAAGAGGAAGGAGATAGACTACGAACCTTTTTCACATTATTTACAGGGGAATTTGTAGGAATGAGATCTTTACTTGGGGTGGATTTATCTAGAAAACCATTAATCTTGGGTCCATTTACCTCAGTTTTATTCTCCACAGAAGAATGGTTCAAATCTGGAGATAATGATCGTTTTTTATTACTACGTTTGCCTGGACTGTCTTGGACAAGATCACAAGCTGAGACAATGCGGCAGTGATCAGCAATCTTAAAACTTGTTTCATCAGGTACAATTTGAACGCGAACAATTTTCCCTTTCATCGATGTGTTGTTGTTTGAGTTCCTCGAGTTCTCCACGAAGGAAAGAACAGAGTCTATCAATTCGTTTAAAGTTTTTACAATTTCAGCTGGAATTTCATTTTCAATTTGATTTTTCATTCCGTCCTCGTTCTCTCGATCTTCGTCGACTGAATCTTCTGAACTAAGCTCCTTGTATTGCTGAACATCCTGGATCCGAAGGGAAGATCTTTTCTCTCGGTCCAACTTCTTCTTTTGCTCCGCCTTGGATCTATGTGATCTTCTCTTCTCCTTGTTGTGAACCTTCTCCACTAGATCTGATACAACAGAGACAACAACATTATCCACATTCTCGGCAGTAATCTTTCTTTTTCCTCCAGGTTTCCGCGTTCTCTTCCCTCCTCTTTCTCGTCGCTTCGTCTTAGCCTCCATGACCTTGGCCTCCTTCTCCTTGGTCTCCTTGAACCTCGTGGTCCTGTTGTGGGTTGGAACAAGAGGAACATCGCCAAAAACTCGCGGTGCGGCTCGAACTCGTTTCTTCGGAGACGGCTCGTCTAATAAACACATAATTATTATTGCTGGTTTAAAACAGTGAGAATTTATCAATTAAAATTGTTCCAATCCATACCACAATGTCAAAAAGTTGGCCCTGTTTCGCTTAATTTCTTTTCTTTGTTATTGATTTGTACTTTAACTCTTTGATATTGTTTCAGATACGTCAGATACTTAAAAGCAGGGGTGTATTCTTCAAACATTAACTAACCCCCTGGGGGGGTGCGTTCAGAGTTGTGGAGATATTGGGGAAAAAATGAAAAATCGGACATAAAGGCAAGTTTTTTTTCACTCTTTAACAGACTGTTTACCCTAATATCATTTATTTTCCCCAATTTAGCAAATAAACCCCTAAAAAAAATGTTGGCGCTACGCTTACCAAACCTAATTTCTGTGGAGAAAAATCATCTTTCGGGAAAATATACACCCCTGCTAAATATCTAAAGCAAAATGCCCACAGACACAATCTTTATTAAAAACTTATTCTCTGTACATTTCAATTGTATTTTTTTTTAATCTAAATAAAGTGGAAGAATTATTATTGGTTCACAAACTTATTCTGAAATAAATCTTATCCTTACCAGTATCCGTCCCATCTCGGGAATGGATTGACTTCTTCATCATTCTGATCGTTGACTTCAGTCCCCCTCCGTGTCCTTTCCTTCGTTTCTTCTTGGACGGAGACTTGTCCCACGGAGACACACCTCCACAAAGAAGGATGTGGGCGTGGAACTCTGACCCTTCCTCGAAGGACAGTTGACATTTTGAACATATGAACGGAACAGGTTTCTCCTCCTTCAGCTTAGAGTCAAGATGAATAGTACTTGGACCGACCTATTAAACATTAAATTTTTTGTTATATAAAATATCAAACTACGGCGCCAGATGGCTTTTAAAAATTTTCATTTACGTACTTTTGCTTAAGCAAACGTCAATTACTAAGTAATTTAATTGCAAATTAACAGTAAAAAAAAATACAGTTGTTCTGCACAATTATAAAATCTGTATTTAACTTGTAATATAAATTGTAAAAAAAGCTTAACTTGTAATAAATTATTAATATAAATAATAAATCAATACTCTAATCAAACCTACCTGAGGATATAGAAGAGCTGGAGGACGCTGAAGATTATGTTTAAGACTAACATGAGCAACTAGACAGTGTGGATGAGCCTCCCACTTATGGTGCATAATCTCAAGTACATCATCATACTCAATTCCACAGACACTGCACACAAAGGAGTGTTCCACCTCCCACTCTCCGGACAGGGTACCGAGAACCATTTCCGACTTAGACTCTCCTTCCTCCTTATTCATTGTCGGCGTTTTTCTATTGTTACTTTTGGAGTATTTTATAGATTTTCCGACTTGCTTCAGATCAAGACGCACCGGCATTGAAGGATGCCGGATAGTACTCTCCGATGGTTTTTCAGGCTTCCGGGGTTTCTTAGCTGTCACAGCACTGTCAAAGGATTCTTTAATCTTCCTCTGCTCCGTCCAGGGTAACCCAGATAGCTTAATAAGGAAATCTCTTTTAAGATCTGTGTTTGTTATAATCGGAGGTTGTCGACCAACTACTTGGCTAGTCAGGTTCCTGACTATAGAAGCAGATGTTACAGGAGATACTTCATTACTCTTCGGTTTCTCATTATCTCCGTTCTCATTAGACAACTCCTCTGTTTCCTTCAATGCCTTGGCTTCTGACTCCTGGTTCTTTAGCTTGAGAGCTGATGAAACAGCAGCTGCTAGCTCGTATCTTTGCCAGGTGAGTTGATCTACCCTAGGTTCCCAACCTCCGATCTCCCAAACATCTTTCACACTCCACTGGCCCGAGTAATTTAATCTTACCAGTCCTAAAATGATAAAAATTTATATATATATTTATTATTTTCATTAACTCTGTATAGTGTATATCCTGCACAAATTTCAACGTTTTCTGAAATACTGTTTATAATAATTCACTAATCAACATGTTGTTAACCTAAAGAAAATTAACTTTTCTAAAAAACGACACCCCACCCCATCTCGCCGTCTTTTAGTAACAAAAAATATGAATTATTTAATTCCTGTAAAACGGTTGCCATTTTTCCCTAGAATTTATGAAAAATTATTAAGTTAGATCTTCATCTTCAAAAATCATCGAGTAAAATAAAACTAAATATAATCTAAAAAAGAGTACAGGCCTAGATCGGACTGGAAAACTTACCTAACGCATTGGGTGAATTGTTGAGAAACTGGTTTGCGTCTTCTGTTTTTAGGTCGGCCATCTTCCCATGCATGCTGTTAAAACTAGTTTCTGGAACTTGGGTCACAGCACCTTAAAAACAATTTACCAGGTTCAGTACAAGTACTACAAATAATTATATTCATAATCATTCAAACATAATAAATTAATAGTCAATTGGCAAAACTTAATTTCATATTTAAAGCATTTTCCAACTTTAATCTCAAAACTTTTAATACAGAAATCAAGTTTTGTAGACGATTCGAATAAAAGTTTAATAGTACTCGATTCGTTTTGATACTTCTTATGCAAAGAATAATATAATATTGTTAGTAGGAAAAAAGTGTAGTAATCAAAATTAGTATTAATAATAAAATAACTTTGATTATTCACCGAAAGGCGTAGCATGAGCTGTACAATATCAAGAAATGTTGCTGATTTGGCTACGTAGTAAATCCGATGAGAATGTGGTATAATATTTGATATCGAAGACCCATCTAATTATAATTTGATTCCGTTTGTGTTTGTGTGTGTGGGGGATTATATTAGCATCAAAATATAGTAAATAAATTCCAAAATTATTTACCAGTAACATAATTGGATAATTCCGAACTGGTTTCCGTAATATCTTCAACTTTAGGTTCTATTCTCTCCAATCCTACTCCAACTAGAAGTGGATTTGCGCCCTGTCTACATAATCTCTTGTGAGAGATGAGTTGTCTGTATGAATTTACATCAATTCCGCAGCTTAGGCACACATAATCTCCAGTGTTTTCTAGGATATCCTCAACCATCTTGCTCGCCTTCTTCTGGTCCTTCACGGAGAAGGTAGGAACCTTCATTCTTCCCTTCTTCCGCTCTGAAGTCCCCAGGACGGAGGGGTTCTCTAATTTTTTACCTTTTTTTCCTCGCTTTATTTTAATTTTCTTTAATCCTGAAGTTAGGTTATTTTTAATATAATCCAGTCATTTAGTTTTTAATTTTAATTCGTAAAAGTGTATGATAAAAATCATATCTAACGATTTAAATTATACTCTTAAATAAATGTAAATGAATGTGAATGAATGTAAATGAATGTAAATGAATGTAAATGAATGTAAATGAATGTAAATGAATGTAAAAATGTAAATGAATGTAAATGAATGTACTTAATGTAAATAAATGTAAATAAATGTAAATAAATGACATAAAATAACCTTCCTTTAGGTTTTGCTGATTTTTCTCCTGACACTGATTTTTGTTTCAATGTTCTAGAAGTTTCTCGAACCTCAGTCTCGGCGATTTCATCCACAGGATGAATACTTTTCTCGATTTGACTGATTTTAGAGTTTACATCAGTCTTAAACTTTCCGAAATCTAAAATAAAGAGAAACTGTAAATGTCGATCATGTTACGAAAATTTTTTCAATTTAAACAACTAGATTTGTTCGTTTGTCACTCAATTTTTGTTTATAAAGAAGGTAAAAGTTATTATAATGCAGTAGTTATAAAGTACATTACTTATCAATGTTATCATTAACTCTTCGCCCTCGGGTTTATCATTGAATCGCGATGGGGTTTTAATTTCCATAGGCTTAATCGAGTATACAGGGTTAACCACAAAGAATGAGAGTGTAAAGACTACCCAAAACTCTAAAAATGTGGCAATTTGAAGTTTGATTTTTAGATTCTGCATTCAATTGAGTATGTTGATGGTTTACTAATTGATAAAGCAAAGAAATAAACCAGTTATGACCGACAAGGAATCGAGAGTACAAGTTGAACGAACTTAACAAATTCCGTACAATCGTCTCTGATGATCCTTTGATGGGTAACCCTGTACTAACTGGTTTTAAGGACCTGCATACAAGTTTATAGATTAGGGAATCAACAAAACTTGTTGCATTCCAAAAAACAGCTTTTAATATAGAAATGTGCATTTAAATCTAAGATATAAGCAAGGAGTATATTCCTTGGATATAAAAATAAGGTATTCATTTATCTCTGAATTAAGAATAATGGTATTAGTGTCGCACCATTTGGTGCGACTGTACTTGTGTACTCTTTGTCACGTGAAATGTTAATTTATAAATCAGCTGTTCAAGAATATTGCGTATAATGCCCCCTAATTAACTGCGTCTTTCAGTTATTTGAACTCTCGTAAAAAATCTCATATCGATCCCCCGAATCCTCACATACCAATGTGATCTTCGTATTTTTATAAAATTTAAACCATTAATGAAATTAATAAAATGAAGATACAGGGTGTCCCACGAAACATGACATTTGATAAATAGTTATTCTTAGTTAAACCAAATCTTTTGCTTAATTATATTTTACTTGAAATCAATTTTAATATAACATGACTCCCTTATAATATTTTTATTGATCTAAGGTATCAAACAACTGAACAAATAATGGAAAAAAACACATTTTAAACTATTCATCAACTGTCATGTTTCGTGGGACACCCTTTAACTGTCCGTAGAACATTAACCCCAATCAATAAAGAAAGTGTGAACCATTTAATTCATAACTTAAAGCTTACCAAGATCAAATTTGTCGTACTCCTGCTCCGCAAGAGATATTGCCACTAAAGTTTTCGTTCTACTTTTACATTCTCTCTGAGGTCTCCAAGCTCGTCGATTCGTTAAGTCAGCCTCGTTCTCACTGTTGCTGTTGAACTCATCAGATATCTCCGACTCAAGTTCAACGATCCTGTTCATAGAAGCTTGTCTCCTTGGCCGAGATTTATTAAAATACTTAGAACTAGCCTTGTCTATTTTCCTATTTTTATTATGCAATATCTCGGTGTTGGCAGACCCACGACGCTTTTTTGACAAAACTCTTTTGGAACCCAGTGATACGGAGTAAACCTGCTCCGACGTCTCGTGCGTCTTGGGTGCCATCTTACTTGGAGTTTTGTGTTTGACTAGATGAAGTTTCAGGTTCTCAGATTCACTAAATGTGTTAAAACACTCGTGGCACCGAAAGAGTCCAGGAAAAGTAGATTGAACTGGCGTATCTTCAAGATTATTCACTAAAAAGTTTGATAAACGAAAGTGTTTGACATCATGCTGAGAGAGGAAGCGTGGATTAACATGAAACTGATGATAATGAATCTCTAGATCAACTAAGCTCAGCTGTTTCTCCTCACAGATACTACAATCCAACCTCTCCTCTCCAGTATCCGGTGGATACCAGTGAAAAAATTTATCTTGAGTTTGGTCAACTACGACACAGTCTTTGCTCTCGGTTCTCGATTGATTAGAAATTTGATCTAGTTCATGGCAGTGGTTCTCAGTAGCTTCAAGGTTTACAAGGTCAGATTGTTCCTCATCGACGTGACAAGGTTCACAAGGTTCAGTCTCTTCAGTAGAATTTAATCCGTCGGTTTCATCTTTATTCACATTAATGGGAGCATGTTCAGTTCGTTCACATTGGACATTTGATATAAAGTTGTCACATTGCACCAAACCAGCCTTATTCTCGACTCCAATCCCGGGGGTATTTAAACCATTCTGCTCCACTCCAGGTGCAGGGGAATCAAAACCATTCTGTTTTACTTCAGTTCCAGCAAATTCATTACCATTCTGCTTTATTCTCTGATCAACAGAAACATGGGATTCATGATGCTCCGTATCTACTGTATTGTTTACATATGCCAGGTTCGGAGTTTCTTCTTTAAGAGATTGGACAGGACTGAGCGCTCTAGGTGGGGGGGACAGCTGCTGTCCGGGGGGTGTCGATGCACACTCAGATGGGGTACAGAACCCCTCAATCTTTTCATTCCAATACTTCCGACATTCTTGGAGCTCAAAAAGTTCCAAATTATTTTCACCCATGACCATTTCTGACAATGGTCCTCAAAAAACATTGATAGTCATGAAATGTTCATCTGAAAAATATTGATTATCTGCTGAATCTAGAAAAATCAATAGAAGCAGGTGCACTTAAATTCGTCGGATGAAATAATCGATAAATACAATTTATCTCCAAACCTATTTAACTTTTATAAACAAACAAAACAAGAATGGCTACGTGAGAAGAAAGGACTACAATATTTATTGCGAGTCAGCTGAGATAAGAAAACTAGATTTACTCCAATCCAACCCAACCTGGGCACGGATATACAGAATGGCCTTTACTTAATATAGTTTAAACCTAGTTTACAAAAATAAACAGACTATGTCTATGAGTCAGATTTATCACTCATGAAATCCAAGATTTATATTTTTAGGAAAACATAGTCTTTGTTGGTTTCTATTCAATAAAGTTCGTGTTTTTGTGCTTTTAGACTGATTCCAGCACAGGATTCGATCTTTAATACAAACGTAGGGAAATCAGTCTAACAGGAAATTTAAAACTGACGGGATTTTAAATTACAAAGGTTGGACAGCTGAGAAATGGGGAATGGGGGGGGGGGAGAGGGAGGAAGGGTCGATCAACCATGATGAGAAGAAATAGGATTGGGGGGGGGGGGGGTTGCTTTTTATAAATGGAGAGGAAAAATACTTATTACATGAGAACTTTTACAAATACAAGTTCTGGTTATTGATAAGATAATACAGCTGAAGAAGCAGATACTGGAATATTTTACTTTCAAAAACTTTTAATGGGGCCAAACCTGACACTTTTTCGATGTAATCCAAGATATAAATTTATATTTTAATTTTAGATTTTTGTCGGTTTATAAGCCTTTCTCTGGAACCCTGAGGAGGAAATGAGAGATTTTCTAGCCGACACTATCGAGAAGAGCTCTGCAGCTAATAGAGCTAGCTTAGATGAAACAAAGAAGGACATTTTAGCCGCATTAAATCTTAAACTAGACCCAGTAGTGAAGGATGTTGCTGAATTGAAGGGTAAGTAGTATTCAGCAAAACACAGCAGATCAGGGTCAAGATATTACTGAGCTCTGACAGAAGCTTAAGAAAATAAAGAACAATTTCCAGAGTAAGTAATGAAAGTTGTAGGTGACCAAGGCAAGGCGACCGATTCTTCACCCTGTAAGTTTACCCTAGATTCAATCATTGTCCAACAACAACATTTTATACAAGGTCTGAGAGCAGATGATCCTAGAAGTTAAGAATATCATGAAAGGACTCAATAAACCATCTGATAATCCTGTCAATATAGTTTCGGTAGTAAACTCAAGGTAAAGGAGACAATACTAGTACTCCTTCTATTCTCATAACACTGCAGAATCAGTTTCAGAGAAATGAACTACTTAGAAATGCCAAAAGTCTTCCTTCAGGAGTACATTTTGATCGTAATATTCCACAGGGAAGAATTTAAGAAAATGAAGAAGCAGGCTTAGAAATATAGGTACGGTTGCAAAGTAGCCACACAGATAGTTTGTACAGGGCACTTATGCAGTTGAGGTACTAAGATTAAGACAATGGTGAGAAGAAGTTGCATAATGCATACTAGTTTTGAACAGTTTTTTCCTAGACCTGAGCAGCTTGTCACACCAACAATGGTAACTCAGTTGAGGCAGGTTTCCTCTCTTCTAATTCTTTGTCTAAAGAGAAATTGGAAGAGGCCAGAAGCTCAAGCTTCTAATGGTATGAAAAGGCAAAAAGACTGGAAAGGACATTAAATTTTGAAGGGACTGTTAAAGAATTAGAGCAGAACGCTATTCAAGACATTAAGATTCACCAGAGTAATGCCATAATTAGGATGTCTGACTGCACAATGAGCAAACAAGTCGTAAATCAGTGTAAAGGCAAAGCTTTCGATGAATATAAGGTCGTCTTTGAATCCATTGAATGAGACAAATTACTCTTTCTTTAATTTAATCCTGAGCCTTCCTACTTTTACCTCAACTTAAAATGAGAATTCTATTCAATTCTTAGTATTTAAAATTAACTGTGAGTGAAATAACGCAAACCTTGAGTTTTGTTTTGTTTAATTTAAATCTTTTAAGTGAAGTCTAAATCATAGTAAAACAGTTCAATTGCCTTAGTCCCAAAACATATACTGTACAGTAGGAGGGAGGGTATTCGTCACTGAATTCCCATGTTTTTTGGGACACCCTGTACTTGATATTGATTGACCAATCTTATTTTGAATTTTGATTTTAATTTTAATTCTAATTCTAATTTTTGTCTTTACTTGAACCTTTTTATTTTTGATAATAGTCTCATCTAATGATCAGTAGAATGATAGATATGGATGATTTCTGAGTACAAATGAAATAACCTTACCATTTTTATTGCACCCTGAGGTGCAAAGGTGATTTAAAACTATTTACTTGGTATAGAAAGGGTGGACCACAACAATCTAGATTTGGAGATGTTCATTGTATCTGAATTATTCTAAAATTAGATTTTTCAAAGTTTTCGCGAGGATCTGGGGTTTGGAAACATAATTCAGAGCTTCAAACAGATATAGAGTATGTGAAAAGCATAAACCTATCAATAAAAATACACTTGCTGAGTATATGATACACCACATCTATAATAACTTTTATCAAAAGTCTAGCCACGAAGAATATTCCCACTTTATGAACTTATATATAGATGAAATTGAATTAATTTAAATCAAGTCAGCTTATACAATGAATTTAGAGAATTAGAAAATCGTAGGCAATATTTAAGCAATAAGACTTTTTAATAAAATAAAAGGTGAAAAGCCCTTTGCATAATTTTGTAATTTAGAGAAAAATATTTCAGCACAAAAATATATTTCAAATTTAATATTGAGGGGGCCAGGCAATTTACAGCGTTTAATTACAAATCAAAACGAAATAAAAGGGGAAGTAAAAGTATACTATGACGAGTGACGACTTATATAACAATAAAGTCGACATGATAACAATAAAGTCGACATGATAACATTAGAAATCAATGATGATACACCGCACTCCTGGTTTAATGCTGAACTCTGAAGATCTTCTTCTTCTCTGCCATGAACGACTCGATGGTGCTCTCCTTGGTCCTGAGAACAAGAAATTCCGCATTATCTTTAAATTAATTAAATTACCTCTGATCTTCCTCTTTTAAATAGTGTTTCCCAAAAATTGTTGGCCACCCCACGTATACCAACTTGTTTTTCATACTGCAATATCATTTAAAATTAGCTGTGATGCCATGAAATTTAGCGTTACAAGTAGAATATATTTATTGTTAATATATTGACAACAAGCTAATGTGACCAGCGTACTCCAAGAAATATCCTAAAATGTCCATAACTGGCAGAAATCAACCTCCTGCGCTGAAACGGTCATTGTAAATGATATGCCACACTATTCTATGTTACCGTTGGCTCCAAATGTATTTTTGACTCTACAAAATTTTCCGCTTTGGTCGCCTTTAGGTAAGATACACATATTCTGACGCTCTGCATGATTAAAGGGAGTGACCGGCAACGTATTGTAGTTGAACTGAGAATGTAGTATTGTGACATTTTTTAGGAATCATTTGAGACCTATGAGACGTTTTTACGGTGCATATTTGTTCAGAAAAAGCACAACATTTAATCTTTAAAATCCTCATAGATTGTTAATTTTTGAGGAATGATTTTGAGAACCGGTTTTTTATAAAATCATTTAATAACGACGACGAAAAATGTAGTACAAATTCTACAATAAACTAAGTAGTTGTTCAGGAACAGGTTGAGAAAATAAAAATTACCTATTATCATAGAAAATTAGTAATCTTATCATTAATGGTTTCGGTTATGTCTCACTGTTTACAAACATTTTAAACTTTTAATGAAAAGACGACATTTGAAGAATTTAAAGAAATCTGCGAACAAATTCATAAATATTAAGATATTCAATATCAGTGTTCTTCCGGCATCCAGACGGGAAAACATCTACCCTTGCTGCCTAATACCTGCCCATGTGTTGGCCCCCCAGCAACTAGGGCTGGCCCTACCAGCATCAGCTGAAATGTCGGAAACACCCACACTGCCTCTTTAATACCTCAAAAGTATACCAACATGAGCCTGATACAACAGGTTCTAGCTCTGTACCAGGGAGCAAAGACTGGAGATTCTGTTAAGCTGAAGCTATGGTGTCGAGAACGGAAAGAATTCTTTACCTTTTCCAGATCCCTGCCCAACAAGAGGAGAAAGAAGAGAAAGAGGAGACAATATTAAAACCTTTCTCTCAATCCTTTTCAAGGCCCCTGGAAACCCACCAGTCTAAGGTGAAGTCCCAAGAGTCTCCCTCGACAGTTGTGAACTACCAGAATAAACCACAGTCCCAGGTTAGATTCCAGGAGAAATCCCAAGTCCCTGTCGAGTTCCGAGGACGGGTCCCAGAGAAACCACCAGTTAAAAGAGGTCCCCAAGACCCCCCCAGCCTGTTGAGAGGTCCAGAAAATCCCCCCAGTCTAGGGAGAGGTCCCCAAGAACCCCCCAGNGAGAGGTCCCTAAGATCTCCCAGTCTGATGAGAGGTCCCTGAGAACCGTCCAGCCTAGAGAGAAGTTCCATAGAACACACCAGCCGGAAGAGAGGTCCCTGAGAACCATCCAGCCTAGGGTGATGATCCTGAGCAGTACTTCTCTGACAAAGGAGAGGGCCCTGAAAACCCCCCAGCCCAAGGAATGCTCCGAAAAAAACCCCAAAACTGTCCGTGTAATTATTGTGATAGATCCAAGAGGAACAGTAAACTCGGTTTCTACCTCCCAGAGAAAGAGAAAAACAAGATATCAATCTCTTGCTTCATCTCTTATTCCTCAGGTGGATGGAGATGTTAGACACTTAAGCATCGAATCTGAACCTGATCCTAGCCGTGAACCTGAACCTTTTCATGAACCTGAACCTAGCTTTGAACCTAAATATGTTTACGAACCTGAACCTGAACCCAGCCTTGAACCTGAACCTGATCATGAACATGAACCTGATCTTGAACCTAGTCTTGAACCTGAACCTGAACCTGAACCTGAACCTGAACCTTAACCTTAACCTTAACCTTAACCTTAACCTTAACCTTAACCTTAACCTTAACCTGAACCTGAACCTGAACCTGAACCTGAACCTGAACGTGAACCTGAACCTGAACCTGAACCTGAACCTGAACCTGAACCTGAACCTGAACCTGAACCTGAACCTGAAACTGTGTTTGACCCCGAGCATGAAACAGAATCTGAGAGATATTTTCGAAATTTAAAAACTTTAAAATATCATTGCGCCTTTATAGAGAATCTTAAAACTTAAAAACATATAATATGCTATACTTTTCTGCGATAATTAAACACGACATGATATTTAAATGTATTTTTTAGATATTAAGATATTCAATATAATGATGAAAAAGAAATAATTGATTCTAACATTGATTTATTGAGAAAATTTTATTTTAGAAATCTGTGCCTAAACATCTAATTTATAGTTTACTGTAGATTGAAGGCAAGGGGGTAATACCTCCCCATAGAACCCAAAGGTATAACACTTTTCAAATTTTAAACTGAAGAGTGAAGAACATAATAAAAATTAGTTTGCTGTTCTGAATTGGGGGTTCGGCTCCCCTAATTTTTTTTTACAGTTTTTCAAGGGCGTATACAGATTGAAGGCAAGGGGGTAATGCCTCCCCATAGAACCCAAAGGTATAACACTTTTCAAATTTTAAACTGAAGAGTGAAGAACATAATAAAAATTAGTTTGCTGTTCTGAATTGGGGGTTCGGCTCCCCTCTACATTTATTTCTGAATACGCCCTTGCATGTTTTGTCGTAGTTATTTAATAATTTTTTAAAAATCGATTCTCAAAACGTAACCACCCAACTGGACCATTTTGAACAGCGATATTGCGCTCCAACTCAGTAATTATACATCATTAAAACGTTTTATGCGTCTCAAATGAATCCTAAAAAAATTCTTCTCATTACTACATTCTCAGTTCAACTACCATACATTGCTAGTCACTCCCTTTAAATAAAGGGCACCTTGTATTGTAGGAGGATGAGAGGATGGTTGGCCTCAATCCCCAAACATTCTTCCTGGACAACAAATATACTTGATAAATAAAAATTAACATTTAGATTTACATATTTTGTACCTATCAACATTCAACAAGTGATAAATAGGCCTGAAAGGGATTGTGTATGAATAGCGGAACAATGAATCTTAATTTTAATTATGATTTATTAACGTTTTTTATTCAATCAAGTGGTTCTCTGTGCACAGATGGCTAGAACCCATTGGAGATGTGTTTTCTTAAAACTTCTGAAGAAAGAATAATATAGAATGAATCCCAATCATTTCAAAATTAAAAGATATTTCTTTCTGTAATTTTGTGTTTTGTGTCATGTGCCATGTGCATTGTGCATATTGTGCACTGATCATAATACAATGGGACCCATACAAATGTGGAATGGAAAGACGACTGCTTGACCCAAGTTGTGATTTTAAATACGTAGTAGGCGAAATAACAATACAATAAAGACGACTTTCGATTTCAATTTTGATTATATCAAGTTGCTAAACAGCATGTATACACATAAACATAAAAGTCAAGAGAAGCTGTCATTTAAAAAAGTTTCTCTTTGATTACTAGTGAACTTGTAATTTGAAAAAAGCTTGTAAACAATAAAAACTTCAATAAGAAGGTCGTCTTCATTATATTGCTACAATCGCCTACCACTGTAGTTGATTGAACATGAAACACAGGCTACTGGTAAACTATTTACTTTAGAACATCAAATACACATGAGATTGTTTAAATGTAATCTTCCTATTCAACAGTTGGGGTCCACTGTAAGTAATATACTTGAAGCAGAAACAATCAAGTTTTTACCTGTATATACCCAGTATACTAAATATATCAGGTTTGTAGCTGATCCTTCCATGTATCTGCATCTTCCTCAGCTGCCGTTCAACCTCAAGAACCTGGCACAGTTTATACATGAATAAATAAAATGGACTCAAACTCAAACTCAAACTCAAACTCAAACTCAAACTCAAACTCAAACTCAAACTCAAACTCAAACTCAAACTCAAACTCAAACTCGAGCTGAAAATAAATGATGGAGTAGAATGAAACAGTATGTCACAAAAGAGACAACGAAGAGTTAATAAAGAGTTTAAAGTAAAAAAATATAATCAATCTTACCAAAACTATATGATTAGGTCTTTAGTTTCAATTATATTAAAGGTGTTAATGGAATACTCAGAAATTGTTAACCGCGCCAGCCGGCAGTCAGCCGTTAACGATTATTTCATGCATAATTAAAATTATAATTATAATTGTAATTATTATTAATTATACCATAATAATCATAATAATCATAATTATACTTAAAATGTAAAATTATCTCCTTAGTGGAGGAAGTACAGTAGACAACATTTAAAAACATTCAGGGGTGGTATACTGGCCTGCTTCTTGCTAGTAAAATCCTTGTTGTAGATACATATGACATGCTTGAGAGGACCAGATCCCAGATGGATATCGTTCTCAGCCAGATTAGGGGACACCTTCGTTGTAATTTAATTATTTATAAATCTTTGAGAGGAGCAAATTCCTCATCACTTAATTAAAGGGTTCATCAAAAGATTTTGTGATAGGTGTAAGACTTTACTTTGAGGTAGTTTTTTTGGAGCAGATTTTATGGGGATAAATACTATTTGTGGCATATTATATGTACTACATTGTCATTTTTGGGTGTAATTGGTGTACACTGTACATTGTTCTCAGTTCACCCACCCAGATCGATATAAGATGAAACCCTGACTTTGACTTAGAATCTTAATATATCATTTCAATTGATATTTTTGTCAACTAAGAAATAAGATAAAGCTAGAATGGTGTATACCCCATGTTCTTCTGCAAACTTCAAAATTCTCCCTGAAATTCTTTAGTGCACGAATCAAGCAAATAATTTGTGATTAATAGGTTATATTTGTTAGTTAAAGAAGTTGAGTTTAAAAATTTTTAAAGGATCAAAATCTGGTTTTTATTTCCTTAAGAAATTTGAATCAATCATAAAGAAATTGAGTCATTGCCACAAACTCTGATGTTCAAATCCTTAAACCTTTGCAACCTAATTTTGTGGACCTTTGAAATATCAAAGGTTTAAGCCATCAGGTTGTAAAGATATAAAGGAGGGACAATTTAAGTTTGTGGCAAAGACTCAATTCCTTTGTTTTATCTTAGGTACAAAGGATTAGAGATATGACCTCATCTACTTTTTAACTTATTTCAAAGTCACCTTGGCTTTAAGGACTTCCTGTCCAAATCCGTGGTGCACCAGTGTGAGAGCAACACATTCCCAGATCTCATCGATTTCATCCGCAGGAGCATGGATCAACCATTTTCCTCCTGTCACTCCACACCTATAAAAAGTAAAAATATCTCATATCCATTTTTTTACATGACGGTGAAAGGGTGAAACTGCGCGTGAAACGTTTTATCAAAATACTGTGTATGGGAAAACTGAATTTAATTTTTTCTTCAATAAATATATTGTTTTTTTTTGTTATATTGCAAAACGTTTTTATTACAGTTGCTCGGATCTTCTTACAAATTTAAAAAATTCCAAAACTTGACAGAGAAATAGCTGTTCAAAAATTGGCAGAATTAATTATAAAATTTAAGGGAACTGATTACTCGCACCTTTGAAACCTGAAACTGTTAACATTTGATATTTAAAAAAAAAAAACTTTGCTAGCACAAGTCAAAGTTTGAAATATGATAAGTTCACACCTTCAGGTTGCAAAGATAAAGGAATTAGAATATGAATCTTTGTTGCAAGTAATTAATTCCTTTACTTACTGTTTCCCGACTTTGATCAACCCCTCGATATCCTTAGTTTCCGTCTCCCAGAGTAGATTAGCAAGCAATACTGTCTCCTTGTCTTCTACTTTATACCCCTTTCCTCCTCCTCCTATAGCATGCCTGGAAAACTTACAAACTATTGTTTGAAGAAAACTTATTGTTTTTTATTTAAAGGGTATTCCATGAAGCATGCAACAGTTGGGAGACGACTTGAAGATCGTCTTTTATATAATTTGAGGCATTCATTGTCAACCTTATTATCACAAGTAAAATTCTCACAAAATACTAGTCCTGACTTTTCCTTAATTTGTCTGCATTTTTTGTACTTCCAAACTTACTGTAGATTTAGTTCAGAATATGGTTTATTTAATAAATTGAAATTTTGGTATTCAATTTTGTGATTATTGTTTCAAGAATCAAACATTGTTAAAAAACTGAAATCGGAACTGAATTGATATTTACTGTTATACAAAATGATTTGAAGATTTTTTTTCTCTCTATAATTCTACCATGAGGGGTATTTTGCGTGATTTATAATAAATAAATCAGATGAAAATAAAATATCTTATGAGGGATTAATATTTCGATTCCAAAAACAGAATTAATTCTAACTAAACAAATTATAAAAATTCCTTTTCTGATAAGTATTGTTCAAAAAAAAAAAATGTCGATAGTATACTTGATCTGGATAAAATCCACCTGAATCAATGTTTTACTAATCTTAAAGGGAGTGACCGGCTATGTAAGGTAGTTAAACTGAGGACGCAGTGTAGTGGAAAACTTCTTTAGGATTCATTTGAGATATATAACACTTTTGAAAAGTCTGTAAGTCCTGAGTTTGAGCGCAAATTCGACGTTTAAAACTCCTGATTTGGGAGTGGATACGCTTTCAGAATTAGTTATTTTAAAGTTGTTAATTAACGACGACATAAAATGTAAAAATATTCTACAATAAACTACAGACGTCATGTTTAGGTACATTTTGAGAAAAAAAAATTATTCTTATCATCGAAAATAAGTAATCTTGTTCAATTATTAGTTTCTATTATCTCATTATTCTAGTTTCTCGTTATTCACAAAGATGTTCGCAGATTTTCTATAATTATTATTGAAAAGACGACATTTAAAGAATTTGAAGAAATCTGCGAATAAATTCAAAGAAAATTAGATATTCAATATAATAATGAAAACGAAATAATCGATTTTAGCATTGATTTATTGACAAAGGAGTTGAGTTTTTGCCACAAAGTCTGATTTTCTAATCTCTATATCTTTGTAACCCAATGTCGTAGACCTTAGATATTTCAAACTATTAATACATATAGATAAAATAAACTAAGTTTGAAATATCAAAGGTTTGCATCAAAAGATTGCAGAAGATCAGAAGATTTTATTTTGTGGCAAAAACTCAATTCCTTTCTTTTGTGAAATATGTTCCTAGCCATCTAATTAGATTACTGTATGATTTTTACTTTATTTTTCCTTGTCATTATTTAATAATTTTAAAAAACTAATTCTGAAAGCGTATCCACCCCCAAATCAGGAGTTTTGAACGTCGAATTTGCGCTCAAACTCAGGATTTACAGATCTTTAAAAAGTGAAATATGCCTCAAATGAATCCTAAAGAAGTTTTCGACAACACTGCATACTCAGTTCAATTACCTTACATAGCCGGTCACTCCCTTTAAGTATAGAACCTGATGCAAATCCATCCGATACCATCCTTACTGTAGATCTTAGAGGGCGAGTTCTCGCTCAACCATTCTTCAACCTTAACAAATCAAAGGTAATCACTAATCAGATCCTAAACAGTGTTCTTCTATGAATTCTAGGACATATTTACGAAAGGTATTTTTAACAACATTAAAAATGGCTTCGCAAATGGGTGTTAATGATAATAAAAGTAAAAAACCATTTAAAGTAAAAATTAAAAGTTTAAAGGCCATTTTATGAAAAATACCTTTTTGTAAACTTGTCTAAGAATTCCTAGAACAATACATTTTTGGTTGTTAAATTCTAGAAAAATGTTTCACTCTTTTTTAACGTTTTCAAATATTTCATGTGTTTGACTGGAGGGGGGGGGGGGATGGTGACATTGATATTAATTAAACTACCTGTTCCATTGTCGTATCTGACTTCACATTGAAGATTATCCACTCAGAGAAATCTGCCTTTACAGACGCCTTGAAAAAATCTTCAGCTGTCACCATCTTCAGATTAGAGAAAGCATCCGCCAGTGAAGCTACTGGAGTGGTGTCAGCTACATCTTTCATCTTCAGAATGGTGTCATAAACCGAAGCAGTAACAGCTTTGGTATCAGGGTTCTTCTCCGCAACATCCAGATCTTTAAAGGATGCAACGTTCAACTCAAGTTCCTGCTCCTTCACCAAATCAAAGTTCTTTCCGACAGCCAGATGTTCCTTGACATCCAGATGTTCCTTGACATCCAGATGTTCCTTGACATCAAGATGTTCCTTGACATCCCGATGTTCCTCAACATCCAGAAAAGCCTGGCTCTCATCTAGGTCTACTGTCTGGTTTAGCTCTTCTTGTGCATCATAGAAAACCGATTCTAAGAGAACACTGTTGAAAAACATTTGTTTGCCAAAAGGACAAAACTATTCACATCCCCTCATCCTTTTTTGTCCTTAGCAACACAACCATGCCAAGGCTAAAAGATGTCCCCCAAATAAATTCCATTATTATCGATACTTTTTGTTAAAACAATCATAGAATTTTTACAAGAAAAATTAAACCCACGAAACGACTTGAATCTGCCACAAATACTGATTTACTAATTCCTAATTCTTTGCAACCAAATGTTGTAGACGTACCTTTGATAATTCAAAATATTAATTCTGTTAGATCAAATAATCTTAATTGAGAATGGCAACTGCTTACACCACCAGGTTGCAAAGATATAGGGATTTCAAATTCGAGTTTGTTGCAAAGACTCAATTTCTTTACAAGAAACCCGGTTTTCAATGGCAAAACTTCTTTGATCATCCGATCATCCTGGCCTGTAAGGCAGTCTTTAATTAATAAAATTAAAAAAAGGATATTACATTCATCTTTTTGTAAAGAAAAGCTCATTTAAACTAAATTTGCGACTTCGATAAAGTTCAACGTTTTTATATTATAATTAGTAATTGTATTGATTTAATGCAAGTAAAATGTAGGCTTATAATACATTTTTATCATTTACGTTTCTACTTATGTTCGGACATTAAATCTTATTTAGTATGGGTATATTGGGGGTTAACTCGATCGCAGATAATAATTCTGTTTGATAAAATGTCAAAATTGCTTAGTCTCGAAACTCTGGGACAATGAGTCCCTGAAAATAAACTAGTTTTAGCAAAAAATATCGTTTTGCATTTTATAGTTTCTTTAACATTTCTGACAGTGTTTCGGATCCATATCATTTTGATTCGGATCCGCATCCGTGATGATGGATCCGGATCCGGATCCGAGGTAACTTTTGATTCTGTGAATCGGATTTTCCCTATTAAATGTTATGCAAGGTTATAATTTATAAACTATATTTATTATATATTCCGAAACCGGGCGAAATGTAACAAAAAAAATTTTAAAAAATCCTAAAGTTAAAAATGTCGTCATTAATTTACTATTATGTAAATGTAAAGATTAAATTATTAAAGATAATGTTGAAAAATTTTCGTCATGTAAAATGTAAATAATACATTTACGAACCATTTTGATTTATTTATTCCATGGTTTTGGTTAATTTTTGGCGCTACCCGGATCCATATCAACGTTTCCTGATACGGATCCGGATCCGGATCCGACCAAATGATACGGATCCGGATCCGAAACACTGATTTCTGATCTCTACTTGATACACTCCTGTATACAGTTCATTAGAGCCTGATCCAATCAGGGTTCAGTCATTAGGGGCGTACGACGGGGGATCTTTAAATATTACATCTTCCTTGCATTTCCCTTCAAGCAATATACATTCTAAATTGCATTGCATTGCACTCACCCAAACTAAAATATTAAGAAAAGAAATAATATATATTCTGATTCACAACAATACCCTTCAAAGCTTTGTCTGATCAAGTATTGCATTAAACATCCGTATGTTTCCCATTTTGAAAACTGATTAATTTTATTAGTGATTTCTCTAAAAAAGTGACTCGCGCATTTCTTGCTCCAGAAACGATTGAGAAATCAAAGTTTCAAAGGTATATCGGACATGCCATATAAATGAAGGGTCACTTGAAATTACGCATGTATTCCATTTTAGTATTATTACATCGTAGAAAAAAATCCTTTAAAATCTCTCTTTTGCCCTTAACTAAAAAAGTTTCATTAAAAAAGCTTGAATCAATACTGCCTTCAGTGTAAATATATATTTGATATCATAATTTATAAAGCAATATGTATCGATCCTGTGAAAATATAGATATTTCCATCTCTATTTATCATCCCATGAAGCTTACACCACAGTATTTAGAGGGATTGTCTGATGAGTCCACTTCAGAAACTTACATAAATAAATTAACGCTTGTAATATGAAAGTGTGTATATAATCGAGTCGTTTACGTAGTTAAAAAATAAAATGTATCAATATTTTTTCAAAAAAGGGGTTTTCATGGGTGGGGCACAATGTTGCCAAGGGGGGGGGGGCACAAATTTTTTTTTTTTGCGCGCGGACTGCACAATTGCTCTCGTACGCCCCTGTCAGTCATGTGTATGTAGTCTATATTCTGAACCAATAGAAACAGTATGGCGGTGACATCTATCTTTCTATCTATCTCATTATCCAATTAGAGTTATGAATCCTTGAATCGGCGCTATCAGTAAATGGAAATATTTACTTCTACTGAAACTATAGTGGCCATGAACTGGGTTTTCCATATAAGATAAAACCACAGAGACGACTGGACCAAACTTTATTAAATCTTATTGCTGTCATTGCCGGTTCCATAAATCAGTTTAATATTTGATCAAATCATTATTTTTTTATATTTGAAAAATACTGTTCCATGGCGAATAACAAATTAATCCTACTGATTTTAAGATTTTCAACACTTCATTAAAGTTTCATTTTTTGATGATAAACATGACAATAGCAAGACGACTTGAAGATAGTCTTTCATTTTTGACATTTAAAATTATGAGCTCTCAAATAAATATTGGTTACTAAATAATATGAAAGCAATTAGAGAAGGAACAACTTTTTTTGCCATTTACCCCTTAACTATACTGTTGTTAAGGCTAATTTAACTTACCACAAGATGTATTCATCTGCAGCTTATTCCGAATTCTCTGCAATAGTTCAAACCGAGACATTTCCAAGTCTTAATCTCTAGGAATAAGAAAACGTTCTAAGGTTACAGGAAATAAAAAACGATGCGTAAATTTGCGTGTTAAGTATCAAAACCACAGAATATCAACATACTTTAGTTCACGGACACCTGTCATAATAATCTCATCTTAATATAAATTTGGCTTGTCTGTCTGTTTGATTGTTTGTATCCAATAAACGCCAAAACGGCGGAACCTATCAGACTTTAAAAATGGAATCTTAAAATATTTTTATCCTTTATTTTGTAAAATTGTGAAAATGCGCGAAAAAATCAGTGAATTAAAAAAAAATAATTAATACTGTTTGAAAAGAACATGCTCACAGATAAAAGCACAATTAGAGTTGAAAAAGAAGATGGGTCCGTAAAAGTCGTTAAAATAAAGCAATTATACGACGGCAATTTGAATTTACCAAACTGAGATTTTAATCCAGGATAAATACGTGTTACTTACTAAAGTCCGGATTTTAAGATACTATTAACATTATAACATAACATAAACAGATTGGAAAGGGTTAAACAATGGGAAAATCATTTAACAAAAATAAATATTAAGAAATAAGATTTAAAGGCATTTTAAAAACAAGGAAATACATTTTTCGCTAACAAAATATAATTCTTAATTGCTCAAAAAAAAAATTGAATTTCCAATGAGATAAAAGAGAGACTTAAAGAAATATATAAAACCGATTGAAATTTTGACAGAAAAATACGTGAAGCGTTAATAACTTCGTCCGAACAAGGTGTAAAATTTCGGAGCATTCTTGCAGCCTGGCCTAACACACTTCGTCGCTGGCTTGATCTCGGCTGGCTGGTTGAATGGGATACATAGGGATTTAGCTCCCATAGATGGAGCTCCAGGCTCCAGGTCTGCATCCTTCTTACTCAGCTCCTTAATCTCATCCTCACAGGGTTCATCTCCACAGAATGGAGCCTTAACGAATAAATTCAAGTTTTAATCCTATCACCCAAAGGACAAAAGAAAAAAAGATTTTGAGTTGTGAATAAAAAAATTGCAAGTATATTTTTATCTTTGGTATGAAATATTAAAAATCAACTAACCTGCAACAAACAGTTCTCATCTAAACCCTTCAAGAAATCATCAAAGTTCTCAACAACGCGAAGATGATTGGAAAGCTCGTTCCTAGCTCTAGCAAACATGGCAGATTGAATAGTATCCAGTAGAGCAGGGACATCATCCTCCAAACCACACTTTCTCATCTTGATCTTCTCACCGGTATCTCGTCTCACCACAACATATGCGCTCTCCTTCATATCTCTAGGTCCAACCTCTAGTCTGATGGGAACCCCCTTCAGCTCCCAGTGGTTAAACTTCCAACCCGGAGAATAGTTTTCTCTCATGTCAGCCTTGACTCGTACTCCAGCTTTGGTTAATCGTTCTCTGTATCCTTCACACTCAGCGTAGAGTGCCTCACGGTCCTGGGCAGACAAGTTTACAGTTACTCCGCAGGGAACAACTACAACCTGGAGACAAGCAACCTTCGGGGGTAGAACCAGACCATTGTTATCTCCATGTACCATGACTAGTACTCCGATAGTCCTGAAGTAATTCAACAATATTACAATGTGAAGCTGATCAATAAAATCATTTTCTTCAAAAAATCATGTAAAGGTTTAAGTTCAGCAATAAAAAGATGATAATATTTAAAGGCAAAACTTTTGTTCTTCAGAAAAATACAGAATCCCAGAAACCGCTTCTATAATCTTATTCCTTTTTGACATACCTAGTGGTTAGACCCCAGCTGTTCTGAAAGACGAACTGCTTTTCTCCAGTTTCCGGATTCTCGAAAGTGATATCAAACATCTTACTAAAGTTCTGCCCGAGATGATGCGAGGTTGCCCCTTGAATAGCCCGTCCTGCAGCGGAGATAAATGCTTCTACAGTTGTCGTGTAATCTCCACCTGCAAACTTTTCCTTCTCCGTCTTCTTGCCCCGGATAACGGGGATCGCCATCAACTCCTCGTAGACCCTCCTGTACAAGTCAAGGATATCCATAACCTAAAATATAAAGTATCTTGGCTCCGATAATTTTCTCCGATCCCAAAAAAACTGTTAACTTAAAAAGTGTACTGCAGTTTCAGGGAGGAATATCAACAAACTACATTCTGCTCAGGCTAAGTTTTGTTTATATTCTTACTAGAAATTATAGGTAACCTTTAATATGAAACAAAAATATGGGGGTTCGCTGGTACGAAGCTCTGTGGTGTAAACCAATGCTTTTTTCATTTCTTACCTCATCCTCTGCCTCTTTAAAGTTGGAGAACGCTGTGTGCCCCTCCTGCCAGAGGAACTCTCGGGTTCTCAGGAACGGCTGAGGATGTTTAAACTCCCATCTCTGAAACATATTTATTTCTTGAGAATATGAAATCTATAATATTATATATACTGTCTTTATTGTCAACTGTAATGTGAAACTTCTAGGAGAAAATTTGAATATTTTGTTTTCGTAACAAATAATACATAAATGATCTAATAAATTGACCGGGATTGGCCATCAATGTAACAATTTTACTCACCACAACATTATTCCACTGATTCAGTTTCATTGGAAGATCTCTGTAGGATTGGATCCACTTGGCGTATGCAGGATACATCACCGTCTCACTGGTAGGACGGATAGCGATGGGTTCCGCTAAATCAGTGCTTCCAGATCTGGTTACCCAGGCAACCTTAGCATTCAAATTTTAGATACAAAAATTTCAATTAGTTTCAATTTACTAGAGGCGTCTTAAAACTTTTTAGTAAAAATTTAGCTGTAAAAAATATGTTATATATCATATACAATAAATGATATACACAAATGTTCTATCAACTGGATTTGGTAATCAAGTTCACAAAAAGACTTAGGAGCTAATAAAAATCATAAATCATTTAATATGCCATTTTTTCAAACTATGACTTTCAAAACTTTTCGTGGTTAATTAAGAATTTCACCTCTGGTGCAAAATCACTGATATGCTTCTTCTCTCTCTCCAAGACCGCATTGGAAACGAAAATTGGGAAGTAACAATTTTCTACGCCGAGCTTTTTAATCTCTGCATCCAAAAAGTCCTAAAATAAAAGAACAGATATGTTGGATTGGTATTTCTTTAATAAAATGGTTTGTGTTGAATATATATGTAAAGTAAACCAAACCTTGATAGATTCCCAGATGGAGAATGCCCAAGGACGAAGGATGTAACAACCGGAGATATCGTAATACTCCATCATCTCTGCCTTGGTCAACACCTTAATATCAATATAATTAGTATCTTCGTCCTTGACTTCACATCTTAGGAATCGAGGTCTTAAAAATTAGCTGCAGAAAATTATGAATTAAGCAGTAAAATAGACTTACAGACTAATGGTATAAACCTTTGATAATTCATAGATTATTTGATCTAACAGAATTCTTAGTTTGAAATATCTAAGGTCTACGAAATTGGGTTGCAAAGATGTAAGTATCAGAAAATCAGAGTTTGTAGCAAAGGCTCAATTCCATTTGAATACCCGCAAAAAGAAAATATTAAGAAATTCACAAAAATAATGTTGATAAGAACTTAATTTGTGCTGTTCTTATCTATCAATTATCAAGTTCTTACTTAAAATCAAATATATTAATTACTCTCTGTTTACGTTATGAATCCCTCTCTGTCTCCATCCCCCACCTATGATTGATGCTGCACACTATTTTATATTATTTTATATTTTGTGATTAAGTATTTAATTCATAAATATTGTTTTTCTGCAGTAATAAATGGTTTGATTGATTTGAATCTTTTCTATTAATCTGTTACTACTGCGTGCAGACAGAATTATATCGCAACAGACTGTAAGCATCCAACCAAAAAGTTTTGCTAAATTTATTAAATTTGCGACTCCCCATTCCCCGCCTCTGAAGACTTTAAAAAACTGAAATAATTAAATACTTTATTTACCTGACTATACCAGTCTGCGAGGTTATCCTCCTTCTTAACCTCCATACCCAGCCTCGTAACCCCGGCGGCAGGGATGGCGGCAACAGGCTGAAATACAGGGGGTCCTACAAGGGGGTTCTAGGGACAAATTCAGGGGTTAACTTATTTCTTCAGAAGTTTTTTTTAGTTGAATTGGTTAGGCAAACCCAACTTTAAGAAATAATTTAATATTCCGTACTACAAAGTAACCCAACCAAAACATACAGAAACTGGTATGAGGATAAANCCCCCACCTTCCACACACACACTTTTTAAACATTAAAAACAATTACAAAACGAGAAACTATAAAATATGAACATGCAATTCCATATCTATTAAACCAGTTATTTGGTTCAGAGTAAAATGTTGATCTAAATTTATCATGTTTATTTTACTAATTCTATATTAACAGATTTTTTATTGTTCAACCTTAACATTTATCAACTCAACATTATTTGCTGTTTTTGAAGAAAACCAAACATTTGCGTGTAGAAAAATTATTAGCATTTAAATAAAAGTGTTAAAAAAGAATAACAGAAACAGTTTTTTTTGAGAAACTTCTAAAAAACTGGACAATTTTTTTCCAATTAAAATAGAAGGAAAATATAAAATAAGGAAAATATAAAATGAGAGGAGAAACATTTTCAAAGTATACAATACAAGAGAAAATAGCTAGTGCTGAGGAAAAATTAACAATGTGCTTAGCTAAACAAATTTTTTGCTTTTTAACTAAAAGAAATTTTTAGTTTTTTTCCCAAAGGCATTTCCCAAAGAATTTATTTCAGTTGCTAAATAAATGTTCTTGCCACAGCGTTAAAAAGTGTCATAACCTATCCTAAATTCGATACAGAAAGTTATTTTTATAGTCTGGCTCGTCATTACATTTAGGAAAATGCCTAAGGTTAAATTATGGCCATAATGAAAGTAACTAACAGCGAGAAAGTATCCATAAAACAAAGAGAAAATGAACATATATAGCAGAGAAAATAAATGTCTCATGAAACAAAATTATATAGTGCCAGCAACCGATGATAAGAGTCGACGGGAAAACACAGCTAGTGATTAATCTTTTTAAATTCTGCAAATATTTATAAAATTTGTATCGACTGTGTTCTACCGTGGATAGAAATTTAAGAATAACATGCAGGCTACAAACAGTGAAGTACAGTACATTGCAGTACAGTGCAGTACAGTACAGAGCTCCATTACCGACTAGTTCCCGTGATCTACCTTTTCCTTGGGTTTATCCTTCTTCTCAGGTTTAGATCTAGGCTTAGCTCCACCAGGTTGGTAATCCTTCCCTGTCTTCTCCTTATACTCCATCTTCAAGTAAACACGAGTTAGAAGTTTAGAAACCTACCGGGTTATGTTTATTTTGAAAAATTATACCTCCACCCATGGCTTCCATGTCATTTGACGGTTTAATGTGAATTCTAAATTCAGAGAAAATAAATGATTTTCTCAATTTTTCCAGATATATGAAATGATTATTGGAATACTGGGGGGTGTGGGAACTTTTTATAATACTTAACTACCCCTGTATTAAGCCGAATATCAAAATTCAAATTTTGATCTGTACGTTAGTTAAGTTCTTCTAAAAAATTAGGTTTTCTTGATTTATTTAAAAGTTTTAACCTTTAGATCTAGCAATATTTTAACAGCAGTATCTATATCCGCCTTGTCTGCCTTCTTCCCCTTTAGCTCGCGCACCTTGTCTCCCTGTGCCGTAATCTTGGCGTCCATATCTCCGGATTCAGCTGATTCTAGCGAAGGTGGTGACATTTTTAATTGTAAATGTATACCAATTTATCTAAAATAAATGTACGTTCTTAATCCCTGCTTAATGTTTATTTAGTTTCAAGAAAGTTAAAGTTAAAATTAAGTGTCAGTCTAAAGTTCCAACTAGCCAACCAACCGACCAGCCAAACAACCATCCTTACCAACCAACCAACCATCCAACCAACCATCCAACCAACCAACCACCCATACCAACCTTGCAAACCTTACCAACTATTCCAAATTACCAGTTACAGACTTCCAAACCAAAATATATCTTCCAATCACCAACAAGCATATAGATAGACTATAGAGTTTGTTATTCCTAAAATGAGTTATTTTCCCCGATTTTACTGTTAAAACATAATACTCATGCCATGTATTATTTATTTATAACCAAGAGCCGCTTGTTTTGGAACAAAAAGCTAACTTATTTATTGGCATGCACCAAACATTGAGAACAACAAAACAAAAACGAACCAAACCCTACCCCATCTTTTTATTCTACTTCGGACTTCAGTAATCATTACGTCTTATCATGCAGTTTAAATGCCACCACCTCTACCTAGTTTAGTATTGACAGGCTGTGCAGGCTTAACAGCCGGTGAGTTAGTGCTCTCAGGTTTCCATTCTTGCCCAGTTGCAGTTTTAAACTCCTGCTTTAAGGAGAGCAGTGTCTGAACAGCTTCCGTCACAGTGTTCTTATCAGCCTTCTCAGATTTAAGCTTCCTGACTAGATCTCCTTGTGCTCTAATCTTACCATCCAGATCTCCAGAACCTTCAGCTGAGCTGGGTACAGCTGCACTAGGAGCTGCAGATGCTGGTAGGGTTATCCCAAGCTTCCAATCCTGTCCGGTTGAGCTTTTGAAATCCGCCTTAAGTTGGAGGAGAATCTTGACAGCTCCATCAACCTCAGGTTTTGCAGCTTTATCGGCTTTCAATTTTCTGACAATCTCTCCTTGAGCTTCGAGCTTAGAGTTTAGCTCAGCAGGACTTCCAGCCGAGGAAGCTGGAGCTACAGAACCTGCTGGTTCAGGAGCTGATTTTTTACTAGATTTTCCAACTGATTTAGCTGCATCAGGTTTCCAATCCTTCCCGGTGCTTGCTTTATACCTAGCTTTCAAGTCTAAAAGAACCTTAACAGCCTCATCTACAGCAGATTTTTCAGCTTTGTCAGCCTTCAGCTTTCTAACCTTTTCTCCTTGAGCTTCTACATCAGCAGAGAGGTTGCTTCCGTCGTTAGCCGCAGGAGCAGCAACAGGTGTTACAATCTTGACAGCAGACTTAGGGGCAGCCTTACCCTTAGACTTTACAGGAGCAGGCGCAGGTTCTGATTTACCTGGAGCTCCGTAGCTGGAGGGAGTTCCGTCAGGGATAGCAATTAGAACTACAGGGCGGGACCTTCCAACACTTTGATTGTAAGGTTGATATTCAAGATCACAGATGAAATATCCGCGTCTTTGAATCTGAACCATGTCCCCTTTCTTTAGGTTCCTGAGTTCAGGATCTCCTAACATCTGAATCTCGTGTTTACTTTTAGGGTTTACAAAATTCTTGAAATCATCATCCTTGTCAAGAATAGGTTTACTGATGATATGATCGTAGTAGATGAGTACAGCAGGAGTGAAAGGAGAGTTCTTGTCATCCTCGCACAACCAGGTCAGCTTGAGAGTTTTCTTGAAATCTTTATTTGATGTATTATCCTCGGCATCAACAGCGGTAACCTTGCCGTTGGATTTATGAACTTTCTTGATTGCAAGGTTTCCCCAATTAATGAAGGTTGCATTCTCTCCTTCCTTCAACTGCTCAGCATCAACTCCGTCTATGGTGAGGTTGGGTCCAGTCCAAACTGTTTTCTCTCCAACTTCCGGGTTCTTAGGATGTCTGGGTGAAGAGTGGGAGGTTAGTTTAACACCAGATACATGAACTGGAACATGGTAGGTCATATCTACAGTTGTATGCCGGGGAACTATAGGATCTAGAACCTTCTTATTGAAAGCCCAGATTTTGTCCCACTCCATGAAAACAACTGATCTACTGGATCCCTGAGCAATAATAAACTGCTGTAGGGCCTCGACAGTTAAACCTCGTCTAAGAACTCCTCTAACTGTTGGAAGACGGGGATCATTCCAACCATCAACTACTCCAGTATCAACCAGCCAGGTCAGCTTACGCTTAGACATCACAGTGTTAGTTAGGTTTAGTCTAGCATAAGCCCAGATATAAGGTTTACGGAGTCCTAGAGCATCAATAAACCAGTAGAATTGATCATCTCGGTCCATATATTCAGTAGTTCTTAAAGCATGTGTTACTCCTTCAATACTGTCGACAACAGGACACGCAAAATCATAGGTTGGGTAAACTTTGTATTTGGTTCCAGTAGCAGGATGTGGTTCAGGTTTGCATCTGTAGATTGTAGGATCACGAAGACATCCGTTCGGAGACTGCATGTCAATCTTAGCTCTCACTGCACATTTTCTTCCCATATCACTTCCCTTCTTCATTTCCTCCCACATCTTCATGTTTTTATCTACAGAATTATTTCTGTTCTTGGACTCAGTCTTAGCGTCCCTCTCAGCCTTCATTGTCTCAGCATCTGTATCATCTACATAGGCATTACCATCCTTGAGCAGTTTATCGCAGTATCCAAGAATAGTTTCAAAATGATCTGAAGTTCTGCTGAAGTGATCATATTTAACCTGCAGTAATTTCAAATCTTCCAGAATAACCTCTTCGTACTCCTCTTTCTCCTTGGCAGGGTTGGTGTCGTCGAACCTCATGATCAGCTTACCCTCGAAGCTCTCCTTGTAATGATAGTTGAGAAGAGCAGCTTTAGCATGGCCAACATGAAGATAACCACTAGCCTCAGGAGGAAACCTTACAATCAGTTTTCCTTTCTCAGCTCCTGGTAAATCAATAAACTTGCCACCAGCACTCTCTTCCTTCTTCTCCTTCCCAGGATCATGCATAGGAGCAGCCGCAACCCGTCCTTCTGTGGGTAGATCCTTGAGTACTGATGCACACTCAGTGCGAGCTTGCATCATTTTAAACCATCGGAGAAGGTTAGGAGGAGCTTCATTCTTCTCCACAAGCCATAGCCAGTGAGGAATTTGAACCAGTGAACCGAACACACAGTAGTCGGCAATAGTAGCGCCTGAACCCACTAGAAAGGTTGCAGGTTTCAGCACAGTATCCAGGTACTGGAATCCCTTGATCAGCTCGGAGTTACAGGAGAGGGGTCCGAGGCAGAATGAAAGCCAATGATCAACCTCAGTTTTCTGGAGGATACCTGCTCCGTACAACTCAGCAGTCTCAACTTGCCGGGCCATACATCTGATTTAATATAATATTGAGAAATCTTTCATGTTTTTTAAATTCAGTTTTGTTAGTTGGGTGGGTGGGAGAGAGAAAATGAGAAGAGTAAAAGAAGTTAAAATAACGTAAAAAAGATGCAGTGCATATTTGTATAACTGAACAGGCAAAGGATCAGAAATTTGTATATGGTGTCTAATAAATATCATTAACAGAGGTTTCTTTTCAATTATTAGAAGATTTTAGAAAGAGATCATTCATAATTACATTTTATTTACAAGAGAGGGAGGTTAAAAAAAAAGTTCCTGAAATTGGAAAATTATTCGTACAGAGCATGTAGGACAGGGCTTATTAGAACAGGTTTCATTTTAAATATCATCATAATTTCCTTTTAGTTCCAAAATCATTTAACTAATATATTTCTGGCATACTTCATAACATATATCATATATTTCTGGCATAATTCATACTATATATATTTTTTTTAGCAGTTTAATTAAAATCTATTTTTAAATATATCTTTGTTTATTTGATAAAAATATATTTCTTCCTTGACCCTACCTTGCAGCTCCTTCAGAAGTTGTTGATCCGATAGATCCTCCCTCCAAGGTGTAAGACGTGTTATCCCCCCAGGTTAGAGAAATTTTAATTCGTCCCTCCACTGCTTTAGCTGTTATCAAGGCACCCACAGGAGGACATTTTTTACTTGCTTCCAACTTCGTCATTCTGAAAAATTAAGTTTTATCATGATCTTTCTGGAACTCATCATATATTCTAAGGAACTCTTTTTGTATTCTAGGTTTAACGGTTTGAAGTCCTTTCTCAAAATGTTTCTCCGTCACAGTATCGGAGAGGGAGGATTCCTCCAGAGCAGCCAGGGCTGATTCATTACAGAGGGCAGCCAGCTCTGCTCCGCTGTATCCAGAGGTAATCTCCGCTATACGATCCAGGTTTAAATCTTTAACTGGCATTTTTCTTGTATGGATTCTCAAGATATGTTTCCTTGTCTCTAGGTCTGGGAGAGGAACGTAAACAACCCGGTCCAACCTTCCAGGACGGAGAAGCGCTCGATCCATCATGTCCGGTCGGTTGGTGGCAGCGAGCACAGTGACTCCGACTAAGCTCTCAACCCCGTCCATCTCGGTGAGAAGCTGAGCTAGAACTCTTTCACCGACCTTGGATCCTCCCTCACCTCTAGAAGCTCCCAGAGCATCTATTTCATCAAAGAACACAATGGAGGGAGCAACAGCTCGGGCTCGACGAAATAAGTCTCTCACGGCTTTCTCGCTCTCTCCAACCCATTTACTGAACAATTCAGGACCTGAAAAAATTTTATGTATACATATTTTAAAATCTTAAATCTAAATGATATCTGGAAGGTTATAAATGAAATCTTTTTTTAAAAATAGATCCAACTTCTTAACAAATTTAGAGTCAGGAACAGAACATTCTTAGACTTCAAGAGCTAACTTCAAATGCCCCCCCCCCTCCAAAGAAAAAAAATGCTCTACAAATTTATTTAATTTCCGCCCGAGACAAAAACTTCTACAATATTGTTTATATTATAACAGTTCATATGTTTCCACGTGGTCTTAGTTCAGCGATAAAAAAATTTTTTTGACACTTGAGATAATGCAAAACTTTTTGCTGACAGTAGAAGAAATGATTTTTGTGAAAAACTTTATACCCATTGCCAGTGCTTAGGATCTGGATCCGTTGGATTCGTAGGATTTTGGCTTCCTGGATCCGGATCCAAGGGGTAAAATATCAACCAAAAACTACAAAAAAAATTTTGTTTATAAAGCCCAAATCTGAACTTTTGAAAAAAGAGATTATAAAAATTATCTCATTTCTGAATGGTTCATCATGTTTTAGAATAAAAATAAGCGAAAAAAAAATAAATCAAAAAATTTGAAAATTATTTTTTGTCAAAAAAAATCAGTAAATCTTAAAGAAATGACCTGTGCGGATCCAAGATCCGTATTCGGATCCGGATCCGGATCAGCATCAAAATTAAATGGATTCTAAGCTTATAATCGTTATCTAATTGATTTATCTGAGAGCATTAAATTTGATGTTACTCTAAAGTCGGATATATTACGTTCAATATGTTTTACCTTTGATTGAAAGGAAATTAAGCCCACTTTCATTCGCCAGAGCCTTTGCTATCATAGTCTTACTACAACCTGGTGGACCGTACATGAGAACCCCTTTAGGGGGCTTAATACCCATTCTCAGGAACACTTCAGGGTGTTTAATCGGCCAATCCACGGCCTGGTTCAGCTTTAGCTTTAAATCCTCTAACCCTCCGATGTCTGACCAGGATACTGAAGGAATCTCAACCTGAACCTCTCGCATTGCACTTGGTTTAATTTGACTCCGAGCACCCCTCATATCAGACATATTGAGAACTCCGTTCCGCTGAAAGAAATTATATTAGTTATTACTAGTTATTACTTTATAGATATTAGGGGGTTGCAAAGAGGTGGTAATAGGGGAGTCATAATAGATAGATAGATAGATAGAATATTCCTACCTCCTGTGCTGCAAGTGTTGCGGTGCCGTACAGTGCACTTAAATCAGCTCCCACAAATCCATGAGTTTCCTGAACAGTATTTTGTATATTAAACAAAATAAAACATCAAGCTTATTATAATTAGCTTGATATCAAATTATATGATTTGNTTCATTCTTATACTTTTCACAAAAACTTCATTGATTTTCCCTTAACAATTTCCGATCAGCGCAATCAAATATAACTTCTGGGAAAAAGAAATATATTTCTAAAAAGGGGGGAGGGGAGAAAAATTATTTTTCGAGAAAACATAAACCCCTGAATGAAATAAAAAAATGGCTTTCTCTATCAGATAAGTGGATTGAACGGAAAAATATATGGGCTTTGGGTATTATTGATGAGAGACGATATTAGATAATTCATTTAATCTTTTTTTCTAACATTAATGCTTCCTCTCAGCTGTACAATTGTTTTAACCATATTATTTAATTTAAAATCAGAAGACCAAATTCACGACAAAAACTGAAATTGAGCCTTCAGGTCGTTATATCTAAATATTTTTAAATATCATTAAAGTCTCATCCTGTGTGGGTAACTCTGATTAATGTCTAAAGGGGGGGGGGTCAGAATATATACAAAAAGAGAAGATACAATACAGATAAGGGGCTGTTTTTAAAATTTTTCCCAAATTTGAGACTGGCAAGTTGTTAGACAAAGTCTGAAGGTAAATGAAAAAAGTACATTTCTAAGATCAATCAAAAATTGTGAACAGTCCCTTGAATTCCTTGAATTATGTTGACACTACCTAATCACCCTGTTCTTTAGCACTTCAAGCTAAAGCTCAGACAAGAGAACCTTCCAAACAAGCAGCAGGGGGTCCCAGAAAAAATGGTCATTAAACTGTTCAGTCAATTTTACAAAATTAGCCGTCGTCCATCTTTCAGGCAAACCTTTAGAAACATTTTTGTAAAGTTTATTGACGTACAAATAGAACAGAAAAACCAACAAATGAAACCACGTGACAGAAAATTAAACTTGAATGAATCAGCAGTTTTAAAGTCGGACAACAAAACCTATTCTGTCATTGAAACCTATTGCATTTAATCTATGTACAGTTCACAGTTTACAATTTTCGCTCTAACAGCAGCAGGGTTACAACTTCCTTACAAAGGATGAGACTACCTGAAACTCATAAAATATCACGACCAAAGATAATTAGGTTTGCTGCATTGAAAAATTAATCTTTTAATTACTTATTTAATGATTAATAAAAGAAAAAAATAAGTTTACAGTTGCAGAAAATCATGAAAATTCCGTACAGCCGTCTCTGAAGTCTCAATCGTTGTGAGTAATCTTTTTATTTATTTTACAGAAAGTTTGCAGTACAATTGTACAGATTTACTGTTTATACATGTAATAAATGCCATGCTCTTAAAAGTTTGTCCCACAAACTGTACCAATCCAGGCTCAACCAGTCCACTATCCAACATAATTAAGGCAATCATGTTATGTATTACAGCACAGTTGAAATAGGCGCATTTAAGATGTGGGTATTTTTAGGATTAGCGAGGATAGATAACGTAATTAAGCTATCTCCACACATGTTTAAAAGTTGAATGTATGTAGTAAAAGGATTTAAGATAACCATGCCACGTATTCATTTGAAACGCAGTTCAAATGAATAATGGGTTTTTACGTAGAAGTTTACAAACATAGATAATTAATAATGTACAATGTACTGCAAGTTTATAGAATAACCGAATATTTATTACATACACATTACGTAATAAACTGTACACAATAAACTTACACAATGAACTCTACAAATTTTGAACTGTACACAATGAACTGTACACAATTAACTGTACACAATGAAGTGTANCCCCCTGTTCTCTCTAGACCCGTAGAAGTTATGTTTATAAGAAAAAATCTTCGGTTTCTTTTAAAGGCTAGTTATCTAAACTGTTCTGAAAATAAACTAGTTCCAAAGATTTGCAAAATTAAGGTGTTCAAAGATAAGATTAAAGGAAGAGACCGGCAATGTATTGGTAGCTGAAATGAGAATGCAATATTGAGGAGAACATTTTAGGATTCATTTGAGATATATAAAACATTTGTTCTAATGATGTATAATTACTGAGTTAGAGCGCAAAGTCAATGTTCAAAATTATCCATTTGGGTGGTTACAATTTGAGAATCAATTGAAATTCTCTCAATAAATCAATTATTTCTTTTAACCATTATATTGAATATCTTATACTTTATAAATTTGTTCGCAGATATCTTCAAATTCTTCAAATATCGTCTTTCCAAAATAAAAATTCCAGGAAATCTACAGGAAACGTTTGTGAACAATTATCGACATAACAGAAACTAATAACTGAATAAGATTATTTATTTTCGATGATAATAGTTAATTTTTATTTTCTCAACCTGTGCCTTAACAACTATTTAGTTTACTGCATAATTTTTGTTACATTTTTCGGCGTCGTTATTTTATGATTTTTTAAAATCATTCCTGAAAAATGAACAATCTATGGGGATTTTAAAGGTTGGATTTGCTCTCTTGCTGAGCAAATATGTATCATAAAAACGTCTCATTGGTCTCAAATGATTCCTAAAAATTTTCCCCACAATACTACATTCATAGTTCAACTACCAAACATTGCCGGCCACTCCTTTTAAGGGAAGGGGGCAAAAAGCCCCCCCCCTAGCTAGTAGTTCTGCATGATTTTAAACTAACCCTGTAACCTCGGTGGTTTACCAGGCTGATTTTGTATCATCATGAACTGGCCGGGGGTATTCCAGTTTATACCAGATACTCGATTACTGCTAAAAACTAAAACTGCAGTAAGTGACAGAATACAAATTTTTGGCATAGAGTGTGTCTTTAAAATGGTTAAAGACTGAGCGTAAAAAACCTCGTTTTCGACATTAAAACTATGTACCTTTTTACAAATTGGGATTTAAAAATGTTTAAAGATATTTATATATGTTTAAAAAAAAATGAAAAAAAGATAAATAGTGAATTGACCCTCTAACATGAATTCTGAAGTTTCCTTCCCAGCTCCGGGTTGGGTTTAATACTCCTGCTCTAGGGTATTCAGTGACCCGGAGATAAATCGATTTTACTTTTTTGAAACACGATTGTTTCGTTTTGAAAACGACGAAGAAAAACACGAAAAACGAAACGTTCGTTTTAGAAACGACAGTTTTTGAAAAAAGATCATTTTTTAAAAACGATTGTTTTTTAAAAGTTCGTCGTTTTTAATGTGCGACGATCGTTTACGATCGTTAACGACTACCCTTCGGCAACGATCGTTAACGACCTTTTAAAACAAAATACATTTTTTGGTTGGAAATTCTATAGACAATAAATCCCTTAGATCCTTAGGTTAAAATTGAAATTATTTTCATAAATTTTCAAAAACGACCGTTTTTCTTTTTTCAAAAGTTCAAAACGAGCGGTTAGTTTTCAAAAAATATTGTTTGTTTTTTTAAATAAAACGAAAAACGATAGTTTTTTCGATCGTTTTTTAAAAGGTTTGAGAACCCCACCCAGACAGAAGGTTCAGGATCAATCTACAGGGTTAGCAACTAAGGATGATACTTTAATGAAGACCTACACCAATACAAATAAAACTGACTAATGTTGGACTTTAACATGTTATAATTCATGAAACAAGTGTATAGCTACAGGAAACAAGTGTACAGCTACAGGAACAAGTGTACAGCTACAGGAAACAAGTGTACAGCTACAGGAAACAAGTGTACAGCTACAGGATACAAGTGTACAGCTACTGGAAACATTAAATGCAAGATAAAAGACTATAAACATTTTGTAAAGTCGTCTTTATAAGTGTTTTCTTTTGGTGGGTAACTCTGTATTACATTAAATAACGATGCTACCAAGAGAGGATGCTACCAAGAAATGATGCTACCAAGAAAGGATGCTACCAAGAGAGGATGCTACCAAGAAAGGACGCTACCAAGAAAGGATGCTACCAAGAAAGGATGCTACCAAGAAAGGATGCTACCAAGAAAGGATGCTACCAAGAAAGGATGCTACCAAGAAAGGATGCTACCAAGAAAGAATTCAATCAAGAAAGGATGATAAAAGAAAGGATACTACCAAGAAAGGATGCTACCAAGAAAGGATGCTACCAAGAAAGGATGCTACCAAGAAAGGATGCTACCAAGAAAGGATGCTACCAAGAAAGGATGCTACCAAGAAAGGATGCTACCAGGAAAGGATGCTAACAGGAAAGGATGCTACCAAGAAAGGTTTTTTTAAATAAAAAGTTAGAAATCTATGAAGCTTTGAAAAATTTCAATATTACATAATTTTCTTTAAAATCAGTAAAGCGTTAAAATTATCATTTTTAGATTGTCATGCTTTCACTTCTGCAAAATACATATTTTTAGCATAATGGACTGAATAATGTTAATCTAAACGAAAAATGTTAAGTCATCCTGTACCCTGCCCCCCCCCTTTGCTCCTTCTTCTATATGTTTTACAGTGAGAACCAGAAAAGAATAGGAAGACGAGTATCACTTTTTGACTATTGTCGTCTTCCTATTCCACGTTAACTGCTCAATTTCAATCTGAAATTTATGAGTTTACTTCTGTTAAAAGAGCTAAAGACGTGATAGATAACTTCTCCTACTGTAAATTAAAAATTCTTATCTAAATTGTGTCAATCAATTGCAACAAGTCATCTGCACTTAAGTCCAAGAAAATGCGCACTTGCCGATGTACACACTAAAGAAAAAATACTTAACAATTGTCTGAAAGTCTTATGAGAATAAAAAATATTTTCTGTTGTAATTACCCCCTCCCCCCCCCCCCAACATCTTTAAAGTAATAAAGTACTAAACTCCTAAATTGTATCATGCAAGGTTGATAAAAAATGTCAGACTGAATTTCAAACACACATCTCCAGTCAGCATTAACATACGTAATTGTAGAACTTACACATAAATGGATTTTTACATTACGCTTACAATCCCTTTAATTTCGAATTAAAAATCTATTCCAATTAATGAATTTTGTCATCAGTAAAATGGAATATTAATTGCTGATTATTGACCTTTGATTATTA